GAAAGACAACCAATTGGGAAAAAATATTTACCAGCAATATATGAGACAAGGGGTTAATATCTAGTATATACAGGGAACTCAAGAAACTAATCCCTCCCAAACCTAACAAACCAATTACTAAATGGGCAAGGGAACTAAAGAGAGACTTCTCAGATGAAGAAATAAAAATGGCAAAGAAACACATGAGGAAATGTTCACCATCCCTGGTTGTGAAGGAAATGCAAATAAAGACAACCCTGAGATACCACCTTACCCCAGTCAGAATGTCCCACATTCACAAGTCAGCCAACGACAAATGCTGGAGGGGATGTGGAGAAAGAGGAACCCTATTACACTGCTGGTGGGAATGTACACTTATACAACCACTTTGGAAAGCAGTCTGGAGGGTCCTCAGAAAGTTAAATATTGACCTCCCTTATGACCCAGTCATACCACTTCTAGGCATCTACCCTGAACAACAGGAACCAATATACAAGGACATGTGCACCTCCATGTTTATTGCAGCACTGTTCACAATAGCTAAGATATGGAAACAACTCAGATGCCCCACCACAGATGAATGGATCCAAAAATTGTGGTATCTATACACAATGGAATATTATGCAGCCATTAGAAATGACAAAACAATGGCATTTGCAGGGAAATAGATGGAGCTAGAAGAAATCATGTTGAGCGAGGTAAGCCAAGAGCAAAGAGACAAATGGTACATGGTCTCCCTGATAAGTGGATGTTAAATCCAAAATGTTAGGTGATAAGACGAAATTAACAGGACTTAAGAAACAAAGAACTGCCACTCATCTGGGCAAACCACTACTAAATAACCCCATGCTGCTGATCACATGTATGGTGTATATGTGTACACTATTATATGTTATAGACTGTGCTAGACAATTTGCTCCAGGAAAGTTAGAATGAGTTTGTGACTTTAAATGAGCATCATTATCCCACAATACTGTGAAATTTGGGGAATTATGTAATCACTTAATCACAATAATAAAAAAAAAAACACCAGAAAACTAAAAGTGATGCTATGGCTCAAGTGGTAGAGCATGAGCCTTGAGCTGAATTGCTGAAGGACAGCTCCTAGGCCTAGAGCTCAAGCCCCAGGACTGACAAAAAAGAGAGAGAGAGAGAGAGAGAGAGATCTTTCATGCGATTGTTTCTAACATTTATAAGATTATGTCTTTGTTGCTTTGTGTGTCCCTCCTCCATGGTATAACCCCTGCTTTTACTATATATGAAGTTGGTATATGTGGAGGGGAAGGGAAAAAACAAATCGTTAAAACAGGGATACAGTAGGACCCATTGCAACAATGAGATGTACAAGTCGTTATGTCGAAAAACGAACTTTACAACTTTGGTGGGGGGGACAGGGGTGGGGAGAGGATACGAAGGGATGTGAAGGGTAAACAAAGGAGGAGGCTGCAATGCTTGGTAAGAAATGTATGCATTATCCTGCCCATGTAATTGTAACCCCTCTGTACAGTATGTTCACAAATAAAATAAAATAAAATTTAAAAAAACATGTGCTCATTATCTTACCCATGTAATTGTAACCCCTTTGTACAGTATTTTCACAATTTAAAAAAAAAAAGTGAATTATGGCCTGGTGCTGGTGGCTCACACCTGTATCCCTAGCTACTCAGGAGGCTGAGATCTGGGAATTACAGTTTCAAGCCAGCCCAGGCAAGAAAGTCTGTGAGTCTTTTATCTCCTATAAATTACGCAGAAAAAGCTGGAAGTGCTGCTGTGGCTCAAGTGGTAGATCGCTAGCCTTGAGCACAAAGAGACTCAAAGACAGCACCCAGTTCCTGAGTTCAAGTCCAAGGACCAGCAAAAAGAAAAAAAAAAGAGTAAATCATAAGGTAGAAAAATCTGCAGAATATTCTCAAGTTTTCTGGTTTGAGATACTGTGAGCTAAAGAAGTAAATTAATGTGAAGTCATTATTCTTTTCCACATTCTATCACCTTCTACAACTATCCAAAGGCTCCTTTCTATACTTTAAAGTCTACTTTTAAAATCTCTTTTCCGTTGTCTTTTCTCAGTCCTATCATCCATATATTTTGGGATACTCTTGGTGTCAGCCTTAACACACCTATGTAAATAAGAAACCTGAGTATTAACCACAAGCATACCAAAATTTTGAAATACAAAGATATACTTTATGCAAAATTGTAAGATAAATATGTTATTTGCAGACAGGAACCAGTGACTCACACCTGTAATCCTAGCTATTCAAAAGACTGAGATCTAAGGAGGAAAGCTCAAAGCCAGCTGGAGTAGAAAAGTCCATGAAATTCTTTTTTGGGGGGAGGGGTCGGTCATGGGCCTGAACTCTGGGCCTGGGTGCTGTCCCTCAGCTCTTCAGCTCAAGTCAAGTGCTCTACCACTTGAACCATAGCACCACTTCCAGCTTTTTCTGCTTATGTGATACTGAGGAGTCAAACCCAGGGCCTCATGCATGCAAGGAAAGCACTCTACCACTGAGCCACCTTTCCCAGCCCCCATGAGATTCTTATCTCCAATTAACCACCCAAAATCTCTTGAGCTGTGGCTCAAGTAGTAGAGCACCAGCCTTGACAAAAACAGCTGAAGGGGGCTGGGAAGGTGGCTCAGTGGTAGAGCACTTGCCTTGCATGCTCGAGGCCCTGGGTTCGATTCCTCAGCACCACATAAGAAAAAAGCCGGAAGTGGCGCTGTGTGGCTCAAGTGGTAGAGCGCTAGCCTTGAGCTAAAGAGCTGAGGGACAGTGCCCAGGCCCAGAGTTCAGGCCCCACGACCAGACCCCAAAAAAAAAAAAAAAAACAGCTGAAGGACAACATCCATGCCCTGAGTGCAAGCCCCAGTACCATCACAAACTAAAAACTTTCTATATACATATGTGTGTTAGAGAGAGAAAATTTTATATACACACACATATATATAAAACATGCCTAGCTGGACACTGGTGGCTCACACCTATAATCCTAGCTACTCAGGATGTTGAGATCTGAGGATCAAGGTTCAAAGTCAGCCAAGGCAGGAAATCCGTGAGACTCTAATCTCCAATAAACCATCAGAAAAACTGAAAGTGGCACTGTGGCTCAAATGGCAGAGCACTAGCCTTGAGCTGAAGAGCTGAGGAACAGCACCCAGGCTCAGAGTTCTGGTCCACAACCGAACAACAACAACAAAAAAGTCTAAAAAACATGGAGTTTTATTAGTTTCTTCCTTGCCCTAATGTAATTCTTCACTCCCTCACCTTGGACAACATTACAAAACTCACATAATAAATAGAAATTTATCAAGAACAGAGTATTTTACTTCTAAATGTTCCCATAGCATCTAAAACAATGCTAAAAAAATACAAGGAACTGTTCACATCTCTAGAATTTCATATCCAAACGTCTCATAATGTATAGACTCTATTATGAGAATATTATATCATAAAACTGAATTTGTCATTTGAATTTGATAAACAATAGCCATTTAATTTCAGCATTATGCTAAACTTACAAATAAGTACCAAAGATCAGAATTATTCTCTAGTGTACAATTCAATAATTCTTTATTATAAATATCAAAGATATTTTAACAAATGATATTCTTTAGTCTACAACATTCAACAATTTTAAAAGAATTATATATGCAATGATTTCAAAAGTGGTTTATGCTCTGAAAGAAAATTTAAAATTATGTAATGAATGTATTTTAAAAATTCTAATGTAAACTAAAACAAAATTATTCTATTTTGATAGTACAATTGTCCATGGTCAAGGGTTAGTCTAGAGTAAAAAATTCAGCATTACAAAAAGAAATGCATAAACATGGTTCAAGAATTCAAACAATATTTGAATGCTAAGCAAACACTCCAAATATGCAATGCTAGTAATTATTTTAATTACACATGTATTAAGAGCTAACAAGATTAAAAATTACTAATATATTCTAGCAAAATGTCTATCAATTCATGAAATTTAATTTATAAGAACACCTTAAATGACACTGGAAAAGCATTTTGAATGTTTGTAATTCCCTCCATTTGTAGAAATTATAACAGGCTACTCAAATTAGTTAACTACATGGTCCTAAATTCAGACAATAATTACTCAATTTCTTTTTTAGCTGTGAAGCTACTGAATATTAACAATATATTTTGATAACACAGATCAAATTTTCCAATAAGTAGCTTATAATCCAGTATGACTAACCAATGAAAAAAATTTCAATTAAAAGTGAAGGCAAGCCAGGCAATGGTGGCTCACACCTGCAATCCTAGCTACTTAGGAGGCTGAGATTTGAGGATCGTGGCTCAAAGCCAGCCCCAGCAAGAACGTCCATGAGACTTTTATCTCCAGTTTGCCACCAGAAAACCAGAAGTGACATTGTAGCTCAAAGTGGTAGAGCACTAGCCTTGAGCTGAAGACCTCAGGGACAGCACCCAAGCCCAGAGTTCATGCCCCATGACCACCAAAAAAAAAAAAAAAGTGAAGGCAAGAGGATTGCAACTTTGAGGCTAGTCAAGATTATATAGCATTGAGCCAATAAAAAGGGGGGAAAATCAATTAAAATGTAACAGGCATTTTTCACCGAAAATTACTAAGGCCTCTGAATACTAAAATAAGGGAAAAGGACTCGGTCCAGTGAATCATAACTATAATCGATTACTTGAAGCTGAGAGCAGGAGGATTATGGTTCATGGTCAGTCTATGCAAAAAGTCTATGATACTAAGAGAAAAAGCGAAGAATAGTGGCACATGACTAGGAAGCATAAACAAATGGATCACAGTCCAGGCTGGTTGAGTCAAAAAGACTAGAGGTGTGGCTTAAGAAGAACACCTGCTTAGCAAGCACCAGACTGAGTTAACAACCCAAGAGCACTATAAAAAGGCACAAAAAAAAGGAAAAAAAATACAAACATCTCTTAGGCATCTATAAGTTGCATCATAAAGTGGCAATATTCCATATTCAATTTTTTATACTTAATATTATCAAATACACATTATTCTCTATGTCTTACCCAGTTCACTTGATTTCTTCTGAAGCTCCATGGTCAGTATTTTCAGTTGATCTTCAGTTTTTTCCAGCCTTGTTAGTTTAAGATGTAAAATAATCAGTCAGAATCCATCTACTAAAATTGTTATAATGAAGCAATTGACATATTTTAAGGTATATCTTAAAGATATATCTTATCTTTATACCAAGTTATTAAACATTTTAGTAAGTACTATGTCTGTGTATAACATTTTTAAATAAAAGATAATTCTTATAGCCAGGCATCAGTGGCTCAAGCCTCTAATCCTAGCTACTCAGGAGGCTGAGATCTGAGGATCATGGTTCAAAGTGAGCCTGGGCAGAAAAGTCCCTGAGATTCTTATCTCCAATAAACTACCAGAAAACCAGAAGTGGCACTGTGGCTCAATCGGTAGAGCGCTTGCCTTGAGCTGAACAGCTGAGGGACAGCGCCCAGGCCCAGAGTTTAAGCCCCACGATCAAAAAAAAAAAAAAGATAATTCTTATAAATACATAATTATTTGTTAATTATATCTACATAAAATCTTAAGGCCTAGTTAATATCTCTTACCTGGAAATCATATTAATATATGAATGAATATATATATATATATATTATATTACACAAAAGTATACCTTAGGAAAAAAATATGACAATATGTGTAATTTATTGACTTGTCTAGAAAATTCCTTACACAAAGGTTATTCGAACAGATGAATCTAAGTTAACTTCACAATTTTTAAATCTGAAAAATTGCCAGGAGAAGTAAATCAAGACTATATAAGATTAGAGTCAAGAATGGGATAAATGTCTATAATCTTAGGAGGCTAAAGTAGAAGGATCATAATTCATGAACCAGGCAAAAGCATGAAACTATCCCCCCACCCCCACCCCGCAAATTTTTTTTTATTTTGCTGGTCCTGAGGCTTGAACCTGAGCTCCTGCTGCTCAAGGCCAGCACTCTACCACTTGAGCCACAGCCCCACTTTTGGCTTTTCTATGATTTAATTGGAAATAAGAGGCATACAGACTTTCCTGCCTGAAGTGGCTTTGAACCATGATCCTCAGATCTCAGCCTCCTAAGTAGCTAGGATTAGAGATATGAGCCACCAGTGCTCCAAAAAAATTTTTAAAAACACCCAGATGCCCCACGACTGATGAGTGGATCCAAACATTGTGGTACCTATATACAATGGAATATTATGCAGCCATTAGAAAGGACAAAATAATGGCATTTGCAGGGAAATGGATAGGACTAGAGAGAATCATTTTGAGCAAGGTAAACCAAGAGCAAAGAGACAAATGGCACATGGAGATATGGCAAAGTAAACACCTCATTTTGTGGTATCATTGCTAAATGACTCCATGTTCTTGACCACATACATGGTATATATATGCATGCAACGGAGGGAAGCTAGGAGGACACAGAATCAGTGGGAAATGGGAAAACATACAACAGAGGGGCCCATCATCTGCACTGGACATAGATGAAAATGAACTAAGCAACCTAAAGACAGAGATGGGAAGGGAGGAATGAGAGGAAAGAGGAAACAGCCTACACTAAGCAAAAGGAAAGAAATGTAAACATCACCTGATGTGGAAGAAATAACTGTTGTCAAAGCTCGTAGAATTCACAAACTTTATAGACCATGATAATGACAAATTGCCTTGTGAAGGTTAAAATGTGTTTGTGACTTTAACTAAATATCACTATTCCACAATACTGTGAATTATGTGAAATTTATGTAATCACCTAATCTCAATTTAAAAAAAAAGAAAAAAGTGAGAGGACAATGTTGTCCTACACTTCGAATTTATATACTGTTTTGTAGAATTGGAACTTCTCTGTACGACTACTTAAAGATAATAAAAATTAAAAAAAATTAAACACAAAAAAGCAAAACGATATAGAATGTAATTCAAGTGGTAGAATGGTTGCTTAGCAAGCATGAGGCCAAAACTTCAATCCTCAGTAGTGTCAAGAAAAGAGGAGGAGGAGGAGTAAGGAAGGAAGAGAAAGAAAAGAGAGAGAAAAGAGGATAGGAAAGAATAAAGAAGGAGATGGAAGAGGAGTAGGAGGAGGAAGAAGGGAAAGAAGGAGGGGGAGAAGGAAGAAGAGGGGGAGAAGGAGGAGGGGAGGAGGGGGAGGAGGAAGAGCAAGAAGCAGAAAGAAGAAGGAGCAAGGTGAGAGAAAGGAGAAGGTGAGGAGGAGGATAGAAAGAACAGGAGGGTAAAAAAGGAAAAAGGAAGAAAGAGGGAGAAGAGAGGGAGAAAAGGGAAAAGCTAAAAAAGCTACCTTTTCCCAAGCACTGATGTCTCACATGGTAATCATAGCTACTCAGGAGTCTGAGATCTGATAATCAATGTTCAAAGCCAGCCTGAGTAGAGAAGTCTATGAAACTCTTTATCTCCATCATAACCAGCAAAAAAGCTGGCTCAATTGGTAGAATGCTAGCCTGAAGTAAAAAAAGCTAGGCAAGCACTGGAACAACAATAACAACACCCAATCTTTTCTTCCCTCATCATACACAAGTAGTTGGAGTAAAGTACCAAGTTGATTTCTCTCAAGACAAAAATCTGTTTATCTTAACCCTCCACCAAGCTTTATGCCAAAAGGACAAAATAGCTATTGAAGTCTCCTAACACACTTTAATATATTTCCTTCATGGAAATCATGAAAAGTAAGAGTTTATATGAAATGCAAACCAATTTTTTCACAATAACAACTAACTATATAGAGTACTAATCTACTTTATCTCAGGATATTTTCTAAATTTTTTTGGGGGGGGGGAGTCCGGTCGTGGGGCCTGAACTCTGGGCCTGGGCACTGTCCCTCAGCTCTTCAGCTCAAAGCTAGCGCTCTAACACTTGAACCACAGCGCCACTTCCGGCTTTTTTCTTTTTTTTGCTTATGTGGTGCTGAGGAATCAAACCCAGGGCCTCATGCATGCAAGGCAAGCGCTCTACCACTGAGCCACCTTCCCAGCCCCATATTTTCTAAATTTTTAAATCAGAGACGTTACAGACCCCAGTAAAGAAATGTCCTAAGTCTATAAATTATTCCTATACCCATAGTATAAATAAAGAAGTCAAATCACTTCATCATACTCAGGAACTTCTCTTTTTAGTTTGACTCTATGGAAAACTAGGCATGGGAACTATGACAGAAAATGCCTATGGGCTGGGAAGGTGGCTCAGTGGTAGAGCACTTGCCTTGCATGCCTGAGGTCCTGGGTTCGATTCCTCAGCACCACATAAGCAAAAAGAAAAAAGCCGGAAGTGGCGCTGTGGCTCAAGTGGTAGAGTGCTAGCCTTGAGCTGAAGAGCTGAGGGACAGCGCCCAGTCCCAGAGCTCAGGCCCCACGACTGGACCCAAAAAAAAAAAAAAAAAAAGAAAATGCCTACATTTATATCTTTTCATGCTTATGCAATACAGATTTATAAAGGAAGGTGACACTTGTTATACAACTTGCTAAAACTACAGGTATGGAATTGCACAATGGTTGGCAATAAACAAAAATGGCATTGAATATTACAAATATTGTTATTAAATTCAGCTTTTGTACCTTTGCTGTTCTGTTCTCAGTAATTCCTCCAATTTGCAGATTGTGGTTTTAAGTTCAGAAACCAAAAATGAATGAGCAGCTTTAGCTTTATTAAATTCTTCCATCTGAGCTTCTTTTTCTTCAGTAAGCTGATGTACTGTTTTTGTTGCTGTCTGTAAATCTTCTTCTGAAGCCTTTTGAGAACTCTAAATGAAATATAGTACAAAACAAATGATCCAAAAACCAAAAAGAGCTAACTTTATCTACTTTTATATTTTTGCTTCCCCCACTACCCTCTACTTCCAATTACAAATCCTTCTGTTGAGACTTAATAGCCCATTCAATCCATCCAGCTCTCTCAATTTCTAAATCTCATATAAAACTTGCTAGTCTGAATCACTCTGTTGGCACTTAGTCATGTGAATTAATTAAATTTTTTATGTGTTTTATATAACACATAGCTAATAAATAAACATTTAGTATATTCTTGTACATAATATTGGTATTTGCTGACAGTGTTGGCCTTACAACACAGTGTTAAGGTTTTAAATCATACCATACTTCTTTGCAAAGATATTTTAATATCTTCCAGTTCTGATGTTAAATAATGCTTCTTTTCATTTGATTCCTTTAATTTTTCATCCAGTAATCCTAAAACAGAAATTGACAAACAGGTAACACTTAACAGAAAACAAATACCTGTGGGGGGGATGGGAGGAGATGGGAGGAAAGGGATGGTAGGGGAAAAACAGAGGAGGAGGCAACAATGCTTGATAAGAAATGTTCTCATTACCTTGCTCAGGTAACTGTAACCCCTCTGTATTTTCACAATAAAAAAATGGTAGATGTTGTACCATTTGAGCCATGCCTTTAGCCCAAAATAATTATTTTCAAACCTTTTAAATAATTTTATAATTAAAATACATACCCGAAAGACATACACACCTTTTCTTTACTTTTGCTCATATATCACTATCCCTCATTTTTGCTTCATATCACTGTCTGGTTGTAGCATACATACATCATGTGCTGCTTCATTTCTTATAAGAGTATGTTTTGGAGCCCAGCACTGGTAATCTGTAATCCTACCTCCTCAGGAGACTGAGATCTGAGAATCATGGTTCAAAACCATCTCAGACAAAAAGTCTGTAAGATTCTTATTTCCAATTAACCAGTAAAAAGCTGGTAGTGGAACTGTGGATCAAGTGGTTTACTATCAGCCTTGAATGAAAAAGCCAAGAGACAACACTCAGGTCCTGAGTCCAAGCCCCAGTACCCCAAAAAAGAACATGGCAAAATACATAAAGAGATGTTCCATCAGAGGAAAAATTCATATTCAACATCCTCTGCCATCATGAAAAGGAAAGCCAAAAAAATCATGAGATGACTCTTGACACCTATCCAAATAGCTAAACATGTTGCTACCAGTCTTAAGAAGATGCAAACAGGTGACACACATAGCTGTTGAGAATATAAAATGTCACAGCCACCTGAAAAAGCTCTTAAGTAAACATGCAATTAACGTAAGACTCCAAAACTATACCTTTAGGTATTCATCCAAGAAAAATAAAGCCAGAAAAAATTTACATAGCTCCATTAATACCAGAAAAACACTTTAAGACAAATAGTATTATTAAAACAAAATCACTCCATAATGATAAACAAAAAACTTCAGCAATAATATATAACATTTTAAAATCCATATGCACCCAGTAATGTGTGGAATGTATCAGTGAACAAGAAAGAATTTGAATGAAACTATCAAAGAAATTATGAAAGTTTAGGTGATAGAATTGGCAGTTACCTGAGTTGATCATAACCCAATATGTATATGAACCAAAATATCACATTGCTCCTCACAAATACATAAAATTGTTAAGATATAGCTCAGTGGTAGAACACTTGCATAGCAGGTAGAAGGTCCTGGGTTCAATCCCTAGCACCGTAATCAATCAACCAATAATGTATTTTGTGCTAATAAAAAACTTGGGGCTGGGAAAGTGGCTCAGTGGTAAAGTGCTTGCCTTGCATGCCTGAGGCCCTGGGTTCGATTTCTCAGCACCACATAAGCAAAAAGAAAAAAGCCGGAAGTGGCGCTGTGGCTCAAGTGGTAGAGTGCTAGCCTTGAGCTGAAGAGCTGAGGGACAGCACCCAGGCCCAGAGCTCAGACCCCACAACCGGACCCCCCCCCAAAAAAAAAAAACAACTTGAAAAACTAATTAATAAATGTCTTTTTGGAGCATATTATGTAAACTCTGAAGGTTTAAAGTATGGGAAAGGAAAAAAGTGATTCTATCATGCCTTCCCCTAGCTGATCCAACCCAGGGTGAGGATTATAACACTATAAAGTATAAAAACTTTTGATTTAGAACATAACAAGAAAAATATTGCTGGGTGTCAGTGGCTCACGTCTGTAATCCTAGCTACTCAAGAGGCAAAGATCTGAGGATCGTGGTTCAAAGCCAGCCCGGGCATGAAAGTCTGTGAGACTCTTATCTCCAGTAAACCACTAAAAAACATAAGTGGTGCTGTGGCTCAAGCAGTAGAGCACTGGCCTTGAGCTGAAGAGTGCAAGGACAGCACCCAAGCCCAGAGTTTAAGCTCCACGACCAACAAAAAAAAAAGAAAAGAAAAGAAAAATACATGCACTGATTAGCTAGTAGTTTGTACTATGTTTGATTTTCATGATTATATTTAAAAATTTAGTAAATACTAAAACTATATTGATAGTTTAAAAAGGAGCAATACATAAGACACACTTATATTTTCTATTATAAATTCTTACTTATCTGTTCCTCTAACTGATTAATTTTATCTCTGGATTCTTGCAGCAGAAATGTTAAGTCTTTGATTTTCTTTTCTTTTTCAGTAATTTGGATCAATAGTAGTGATACCTGAAATGAAATAAATGTAAACATCACAGAGATAAAAATATGACACTTTCAGCTCTTCCTATCATGTTACTCTTTTTTTTTTGGGGGGGGGGGGGGTCCGGTCGTGGGGCCTGAACTCTGGGCCTGGGCGCTGTCCCTCAGCTCTTCAGCTCAAGACTAGCGCTCTACCACCTGAGCCACAGCGCCACTTCCGGCTTTTTTCTTTTTGCTTATGTGGTACTGAGGAATCGAACCCAGGGCCTCATGCATGCAAGGCAAGCACTCTACCACTGAGCCACCTTCCCAGCCCCTCATGTTACTCTTTTAAATATTTTATATGATTTTTCAGATGTCATACAATTCAAGCTGTATAATAAGCATTTACCAAGTGAATAAACAAAAAACTGGTATGATATATATAGTATAGATGATATGATTCACCTTCACAAAATTCACAGCCTGGTTTGGAAGACAAGTAGCTACACTTAAGTATTAATAGTGAAAAGAAAAAAATAAATATTAATAGTGATAGAACAAAAATGACTTAGGTATTAGGAAATGAACACCTAAATCAATCTTGGGGGAATTAACAAAAAAATTAATTCTCAAAAGTTTAAGTTATAGGCAGGCCGCCAGTGGCTCACACCTGTAATCCTAGCTACTCAGGAGGCTGAGAATTGAGGATCCTGGGTCAAAGACAACTCGGGCAGGAAAGTCCGTGAGACTCTTATCTCCAATAAACAACCAGAAAACCAGAAGTGGCACTGTGGCTCAAGTGGTAGAATGCTTGCCTAGAGCTGAAGAGCTGCGGGACAGCGCCCAGGCCCACAACCAACAAAAAAGAAAAAAAAAGTTTAAGTTCTAAAGATGGAAAGCAGTTAAAAGGAATGGAAAAAATTTCAATTACAAAAGAATCTATAAGGGCTGGGAAGCTGGCTCAGTGGTAGAATTCTTGCCTTGCAAGCATGACGCCCTGGGTTCAATTCCCCAGCACCACATAAGGAGAAAAAGCTTTAAGTGGAACTGTGGTTCAAGTGGTAGAGTGCTAGCCTTGAGCTGAAGAGCTGAGGAACAGCACCCAGGCCCAGAGTTCAGCCCCCACAACCAAAAAAAAGGAAAGAGGAAAAAGAAAGAATCTATATAGTAACATAATAATAACACACAAGATAACTCATCCCCAAAGAACTACAGTATAATGGAAGAATCAGAGACTACACAAGACAGGTATGAAACAGATATAAGTATAAGGAAGATGAAGTCTATAAAAAACTGCGGAATTCCCCTAGGTTCATTCAAGACTCCAGACTCCTAATATAGTTAAAAACTGAATACTACTCCTGTCTTTGCAAGAGACCCAGGAATATCAACTAAAAGTGCATTGGTCTAGAAATATACTGAGTGGTAGAACAAGCACTTGCCTAGTATATGCAAGATGTTAAGTTCAATCACCAGACCACATCAAAAAAAAGAGATAATCTCTAAACATGGATATTCCAGACATGAGGAGGCATAGGGACAAAGAATAGAATGAAAAAGTTATCATAGATATTAGTGGGACTTAGCTACCTTGCTAACTCTGCTTCATAATGTCATGAGCCAAGTTTATATTCCCAGGCAAGAATTTGACAAGCCCAGAACATATTCTAGCAAATAATGATACTAAAGAGCCTGAACAAGAAAGAAGGAAAAAAAAAAAAGAAACTGTAAGTTCTATACAAAAACCTAGTAAGCGTTTTCAGACTCTTTTTTTTTTTTATTGGTTTTTATCTGGTTGGTTTGTTTTTTGTTTTGTTCTGTTTCTGTGCTAGTCCTGGGGCTTGTACTTAAGAGCCTGGGCACTGTCCCTGAGATTCTTTTTGTATTAGGCTAGCACTCTGACATGCTATTAATCTGAAATTGATATCCTTGCAAAAATAGAAAATACAGACTTATGATTTTAAGTCTTCCACTGTGTGAAACAGAAATTAGCAACTTGATATGTTGGCTTCTTTTCATTAACATCATGGATAGCATATTTCATGCCTGTAATCCTAACTAGTCAGGTGGCTAAGGTCTGAGGATTGCAGTTTGAAGCCAGACTGGGCAGAAAAATCCATGAGACTGTGTTATCTCCAATGAATCACCAAAAGGTTAGGAGAAAAGCTGTGGCTCAAGGAGTACAGCAGTAGTAAGAGAAAAAAAGGTCAGTGATAGCGCGGGCATGTGCGCGCACACGCACGCGCACACACACACACATATGGTAAGTAAGTGACCATGATAATGTATTCTATTAGGACTTTCACACACACACACACAGTAACTAAGTGACCATGATAATGTATTCTATTAGGACACACACACACACACACACACACACACACACACACACACACTCGGTAACTAAGTGACCATGATAATGTATTCTATTAGGACTTTCAGTCGGAAGAAAATTTCTCATAAAATGATATATTTTAACAGCAGTGTAAACTGATAATACTAAAGAAGATTCACTGAGTAAAATGCCAAAAAGGCTAACATTCTATAAGTGCATATGAGTCAATAAAAATTAAATTGCAGGGCTGGGAAGGTGGCGCAGTGGTAGAGCACTTGCCTTGCATGCATGAGGCTCTGGGTTCGATTCCTCAGCACCACATAAGCAAAAAGAAAAAAGCTGAGGCCGTGGGGTGGGGGGGAGGCTGGGAAGGGATGGGAAGAGTAAACAAAGGAGGAGGCTACAATGCTTGATAAGAAATGTACTCACTATCTTGCCCATGTAATTGTAACCCCTCTGTACAGTATTTTCACAATAAAAAAAAAAGAAAAAAGCAAGAAGTGTCGCTGTGGCTCAAGTGGAAGAGCACCAGCCTTGAGCTGAAGAGCTGAGGGATAGCACCCAGGCCCAGAGTTCAGGCCCCACAACCGGACCCAAAAAAAAAAATTAAATTGCTTATTTTAAAAGACTTACTATTTGAGTATGTATATTAAAATTCTCACATAGAAATTTGTTGTATAGTCAGAAATTCAAAGGGTTTGCAAAAACAATAGCATTACATAACTAAGAACAGTGAGCACAATTTGAATGTACCCATTATAAAGAATGATAAAAGTTAAGGTGTCATGGTATAAGACCGGAAACCTTGAAAAGAGTACAAAAATGATTAAGAAAACACCAGAATTTACCTGCTTAGGCAGAAACTTCCTGAACAGAATTCCAAGGGCTCAGAGAATAGGAGGAAAAAATGGTAAACTGGATTGCATCAAGCTTCTGTATAGTGTAGGACAGTTACTAAATTAAAAAGAAAAGCCTAAAGAAAGAAAGAAGATTTTGCCAGCTATAGGTCTAACAAAGGTCTAATAACCAGAATATACAAGGGGCTCAAAAGAATTAAACCACCAAAGACTTAGTACCTTAATTAATAAAAAGATAAAGGAGCTAAATACGTTTCTCAGAAAAAGTACAAATGGCCAATACATACATGAATAAATACTCAACACATCCATTACCATAAATGAAACACAAATCAAATTAACAGTGGGATTCCATTTCCAGTTAGAACAGCCACTTAAAGAATACGGCACTAGTGGCTCACGCCTAGCTACTCAAGAGGCTGAGATCTGAGGATCGCAGTTCAAACCCAAATTGACAGGAAAGTCAGTGAGACTCTGATCTCCAATAAGCCACCAAAACACCAGAAGTGGCGCTGTGGCCCAAGTGGCAGAGCACTGGCCTTGAGCTGAGGGACAGTGCCCAGGCCGAGAGTTCAAGCCCCACGACCAACAACAACAACAAAAAAGACAAATGCTGGCAAAGATGTAGAAGGAAAAAAATAAACTTAACATGCTGTTGGTAAGAATATAAATTAATTGGGCTGGGAAGGTGGCTCAGTGGTAGAGCGCTTGCCTTGCATGCCTGAGGCCCTGAGTTCGATTCCTCAGCACCACATAAACAGAAAAAAAAAAGCCAGAAGTGGTGCTGTGGCTTAAGTGGTAGAGTGCTAGCCTTGAGGGACAGCGCCCAGGCCCAGAGTTCAGGCCCCACAACCGGACCCAAAAAAAAAATTTTTTTAAAAGAATATAAATTAATAGCCAGGCACCGGTGGCTCACACCTGTGATCCTAGCTACCCAGGGGGCTGAGATGGGAGGATCACAGTTCAATGCCAGCCAGGCAGAAAAGTCTGTGAAACTTATCTCCAATAATACACCAGAAAAGAAAAGCAGTTTGGAGATACTTCAAAAAACTAAAATTCACTGCTGCACTATTCACAATAGCCAAGTTGTGGGAACAGCCCAGATTCCCTACAACATGAGTGGATCCAAAAAATGTGGTACCTACATATAATGGGATTTTTACACATCCATTAGAAAGAATATTATGTCATCTGCAAGTAAAAACAAATCATGTTAAGTTAGGTAAGCCAAGCTCAGACAGACAAACAATAATATATCCTTTCTCTCACATGTGGAAGCTAGATCTAAACTACACTGGGACACAAGAAATTACACAGGACTCTAGGCATTCACAGACAGTGTGAAGAGACCAAAGGAAGATACTGTTCGAGAGGAACAGAAAGGTACAATGCATGTATGCATCTAATCATACAAACAGTATTTATCAAGATGAACTCCAGGAAATAGAAATGAGGTTTTTTTTCTTTTTTGCTGTTTTTGTTTTCTTTTTGTTTGTTTATAGGTCTTTGGAAGTATAAGGGTAGATCGCACAGAAATGGAGGGACACAGGGTGAACAAATGCAGCAGTGGTACTCACTGGATATTATGCTGAAAATGAACTATACAATTTGGTGGGTGAGGATGGGAGGGAAAAACAGAGAGGAGGGATGGGGGTGCAGTTGTCCAATAAAGAACTGTACTCTTTACCTGACATATGTAACTGTAACCCCTCTGTACATCACCTTTATAACAATATTTTTGTCACCTTTATAACAATATTTTTGTCAATCATGGAGCTTGAACTCTGGGCCTGGGCACTGTCCCTCAGCTCTTCAGTTCAAGGCTAGCACTCTACCACTTGCGCCATAGCGCCACTTCCTGTTTTCTGGTGGCTTATTGGAGATAAGAATTTCATGCACTTTCCTGCTCAGGCTGGCTTTGAACTGCAATCCTCACCATTGCTTGGCACTTGAAGTCTTTTGATAAATGCCCAAGTCTGGTATTGCTGGATCATAGAGTAGTTCTAATTTCAGTTTCTAAAATTTTTATTGTTACCCAGACCTCAGTGGCTCATGCCTGTAATCCTAACTTCTCAGGAGGCTGAGATCTGAGAATCATGATTCAAAAACAGTGTGGGCAAACAAGTTCCAGGGACTCTCATCTCCAATTAGCCACCAGAAAACTAGAAGTGGTGCTATGGCTCAAAGTGGTAGAGCACTATCCTTATGTGAAGAGCTCAGGGACAGTGCTCAAACAGAGTTCAAGCCCTATGGCTGACAAAAAAAAAAAAAAGACTGCAAGCCAGGCTACAATAAAGGCACCAGCAAACACATTCTTTGCTACACTATTCACTATAGCCTGCACTATGAATAATGAATAGATCAGAAAAACATGTATCCAAAGAATAATACTATGTCACCTGCAATGAAATGATAGACCTGCAAAAAATTGTATTGACTTAAGTAAGGTTCTGGAATGTGGAAGTTAGATTGAAATACAAATATATATGAAACTACATACATGGCCATATTCATATACATTTAAACTATGGCATATGCAGGAATGGATTTTATTTCCATCCTCTTTGAACTGACAGTTTTAACAAAATGAATACCAGGAAGTTGAAACATGCCTTGATCATGGGGACTGGGGATTAAGGGGAGAGAAGGAGATGAATGAAAAGAGAACTGGTGGGCACATAACAGTCATAATATTCAATTGTTCAATAGGAAAATAGAACTAGGAAATAAAGAGATAGATGAGAGAAGGATGAGAATGATCAAGACACAGTACACACACAAACTGGTATGCTGAATTGAAACACCTTATACAACTATTTGATTATTTTGTTTAATTTGTCATAGATATGTTAATTAGCCTGAATGATTACTACCCAATATGTACATGATCCAAAACATTATACTGTACCTTATAAATGCACACAAGTATTAGCTGATCAAAAAAGTTTAGTTAATTTAAGCCGGGCGCTGGTGGCTCACGCCTGTAATCCTAGCTACTCAGGAGGCTGAGATCTGAGGATCGCGGTTCAAAGCCAGCCCGGGCAGGAGAGACCGTGAGACTCCTATCTCCAATAAACCACCAGAAAACCAGAAGTGGCACTGTAGCTCAAGTGGTAGAGTGCTCACCTTGAGCTGAAGAGCTGAGGGACAGCGCCCAAGCCCAGAGTTCAGGCCCCCAGGACCGGAACTCCCCCCCCAAAAAAAATAGTTGAGGGTTGGGAATGTGATTTAGCAGTAGAGTGCTTGCCTAACATGCATGAAGATGCATGAAGGCCTGGGTTCAATTCCTTAGTATCACATAAAGAGAAAAAGCTGGAAGTGGCACTGTGGCTCAAGTAGTAGAGTGCTATACTTGAGCAAAAAGCTCAGGAACAGTGCCCAGGCCCCGAGTTAAAGCCCCAAGACTGGCAAAAGAAAGAGAGAGGAAGAGAGAGAGATAGAAGTTAGTTGAGGTTTTTTTAATACCTGGTTTTCTTTGTCATTTACTTCCTTCCTAAATTCTTCTTCAAGGTGTTGCATTTTTTCATAATTTTCCTTTACTTTAAAAATAAAATATGTCATGGTCTTAACATAACTGTATAACTTTTCCATTACAAACAAAATTTAAAGATTATGCATAATTTATCTTGAAACTATATTAAACCTCAAAATTTTCTAATGAGCCAATCTGGTACTTTTGTCTTAAACATTTAGTAAAACAATGAATTTACATATACCCCACAATTCTTATAATAGCACATATATACAACTTAATATAACAACTAATTAACAAGTTTTGATATAGTTTATGGTGTATAGTTTTAGCAAAAAAATAAAAACAAACCATACTTCTAAAAAATAAACACAAAACTATAATAAGACTTATTCCATGGGGAAAAAAAAATCACCGATCAAAGCCATAACACAGGGCTGAAAATGTGGCTTAGTGGTAGAGTGCTTGCCTCGCATGGATGAAGCCCTGGGTTCAATTCCAGAGCACCACATAACCAGAAAAAGCCAAAAGTGGCACTATGGCTCAAGTGGTAGAGTGCTAGCCTTGAGCAAAAAGAAGCTCAGGGACTGGCTAAACAAAAACAAAGCCATAACATACTTTTAATAATATTTTAACATTTACTCCTGACAAATTCTACAACTTTGAGGTGCTACAAAAAAGACAATACAAAATATAAGTAGTAAGGATATGAAGCATAAGATACAAAAGATAAATAAAAATCTAGTAAAATGTAAGTGGCAAAGTAATATAAAAATTAAGCAGAATTCCTACACTTCAAATGCATTTCCTTCCTGGAATTCTCTGCTTGCACACGAAGCTCCTCATAAGCTATTATCATTTTCTGGAATATAAAGTTTAACTTTTAAGACTCAGAGACTTTTTTAAATATCTTCCTTCAAACTTGAGAATATTAATACATTATAACATGTAATCTTTACATATAAATTATGAATAATCAAAACCTTGTAACTCTGAACAAACAGCTTGCTCATGTGTCTATAATCTCCAACTAACCACCAGAAAACCGGAGGTGGCACTGTAGCTCAAGTGGTAGAGCTTTTGATTAAGCTGAAGAGCTGAGGGACAGCATCCAGCCCCAGAGTTCGTGCTCCACAACCAACAACAACAACAAAAAAAGCAAAGAATAACTATAAGAGAAAGCAAAATGGTGAATAATAGGATATCAGAGAACAAAGACAAGAAAGAACTCACTACAGATTAATAATACTTTTACATTTCTCAAGACCAAATATTTGGTAAGTTAAATTGTATCACTCCTGTGTAAATAAAAGGATGCTGTGACAAAACATTACTCAATACAGAAACTTCAGAATTCAATCATTTACTAACAAGCAATCATCTTTATAGCAAGAAGAGTTATCCATATATTTGTAGCTATACTATACACTGCTTAGAAATTCTTTTCAAACTATTTAGATTTTTACTAACATTTACCTCAATGTTGCTATTTAGATCCATATAAGCTTGTCTGGTTTCTTCCCGTTCATATTCATCTGAAATTAATTTCAGAACTTCAAAATTAAATTTTAAAACATGGTACCAATGACAAAATATTCCAAATATCATAGAAAAGTTAAAATTCTATGTTAATAAAGGGCACTGAGATACCTAACTCAGTTCTGAGTGTTTACAAATACCATTAGCGGGTGGGAAGGTGGCTCAGTGGTAGAGTGCTTGCCTTGCATGCAGGAGGCCCTGGGTTCCATTCCTCAGCACCACATAAGCAAAAAGAAAAAAAGCCGGAAGTGGTGCTGTGGCTCAAGTGGTAGAGCACTAGCCTTGAGCTGAAGAGCTTAGGGACAGCGCCCAGGCCCAGAGTTTGGGGCCCACGACCGGACCCAAAAAAAAAAAAAAAAAAATACCATTAAAAGCAATTTTGATCCCATCTGGTATTTAAGAAATTTAGAAATTATACTCTTCAAAAGAAAAAATAAACATACTGAAAAAGTTCCTTATGTACAAAAGTAATGTTATATAGTTATCAATTACTGTCAAAATTAAAGATGTGGGGAAACAGATACAGAAAAAAAAATAGAATGTTGAAAGTGCTAACACTGATCAAAACAGAATGGCAACGCCTTTGTAGAACTACTTAAAGACAATAAAAATACAACTGTGCCTCTGATCATATAATATTGATTGAAATGAAATATATGTAATTAAACTGATAGAACTGTAAGGAAATAAATTAATCCAGTAATGTAGCTGGATGCTTTAACATCTCTCCAATAGAAACCGACAGATCTTATAGGCATAAAATTAGGAAGGAAGGAAACAGTTGACCACCACCAGGTCAACTGAACATCTATGACTATTTTAACAATAATGTTCACATGGAACATTCAAAAAGAGACAGCTGGGTGGCTGCCAGTGGCTCACACCTGTAATCCTAGCTACTCAGGAAGCTGAGATATGAGGACCACAGTTCAAAGCCAACCCAAGCAGGAAAGTTCCGTGAGATTCTTATCTCCAATAAACCACCAGAAAACCAGAAGTGGCACTGTGGCTCAAGTGGTAGAGCACTCACCTTGAGCTGAAGAGCTGAGGGACAGCACTCAGACCCAGAGTTCTAGCCCCACAATAACAACAAAAAGGCAGAGGCATATTGATATAAATGAACAGAGGCCATACAAATGTTTGTTCTCAGACCACAGTGGATTTAAACTAGAAAAACAGAAAGACAATAAAAGGGCTGGGAAGGTGGCTAAGTGGTAGAGCGCTTGCCTTGCATGCATGAGGCCCTGGGTTCGATACCTCAGCACCACATAAGCAAAAAGAAAAAAGCCGGAAGTGGCGCTGTGGCTCAAGTGGTAGAGTGCTAGCCTTAAGCTGAAGAGCTGAGGGACAGCACCCAGGCCCAGAGCTCAGGCCCCACGACTGGACCCAAAAAAAAAGAAAAAGAAAAGAAAGACAATAAAAAGTTCACAAAATACAATCACAAAATATAGACACTACCAAATAAGACACAGGTCAAGGAAGACATCTCAGGAAAAATTGAAAAAATATTTTTAAAAATAAACTACATATTTTGAATTAAATGATGGTTTATCTTAGTGGTAGAGTGCTTGCCTAATATACAAAGACCATGGATTTGAACCCACAAAAAAGTAAAATATAATACATTGAAAACATAGCTTATAAAAATTTATGAAACAGAGCAAAAGCATGCAAGGAAAAGAACAATACTGAATGTTATATTTTAAAAACAGAAAATCAATACAAAAAAAATCAGTGAAACCAAAAGCTAGTTCTTTCCAAAGATCAAAAAATAAGTAAGACTTTGGTCAGACTAAGAAAGAAAATATGTCACTAACAAAATGTACTGCCACCTGCTGAATGATACCAGATAGGAGGAGAGGAAAGTGAGTAATCAATCTGATTACAAATTTCATACATATACATGTGTGTGAAATACTTCTTTGAACAATTAGCCTAACACCTAAAAATAAATGACAGGAATATAAAACAAGTGCTATTGGGGTGGGTACTATGGGAGGGTTAAGAGGATTAAGAGGGTGAAGGTGGGTGAATATGGTCAAAATACTACACATATACCTGTGAAAATGGACCAATGAAGCTTGCTGAAATTAGTCTGGGAAGAAGGTAGAGGCAATGAGGGAGAGTAAAGGAGGGTGAGTCTAAACAAGGTACATCATGTGTAGGTATACATGGACATGTCAAAAGAAAAATCCCCTGTACAACTAATTGGTGCTATAAAAATGTGGGACAAAAAGAGAATGGTATCATTGCAGATTCTTTGGATATTAAAAGGATAATAAAAAGCATTACAAACAACTCTATGCCCACAAATTTGATAATGTTGATGAGATCAAATAATTTTCAAAAAACAATGGCCAAAACCATAAAAAGATAATAGGCCTAAATCTGTTCAATAAATTTAAGCAACATTAATCTTTTTCAAACAATATACAATGCTTCTTCGATTCACTTCTGTAGTCTGCCAATGTTTAAAGAAAAAACTATGCCACTTTTCAACCATCTTTCTTTCACAAGATGGAAGCAAAAAGAATATATCATAACTCCATCTATAACACCAACACTATCTTTTTTTTGGGGGGGGGGTCCAGTTGTGGGGCCTGAACTCTGGGCCTGGGCACTGTCCCTCAGCTCTTCAGCTCAAGGCTAGCGCTCTACCACTTGAGCCACAGCGCCACTTCCGGCTTTTTTCTTTTTGCTTATGTGGTGCTGAGGAATCGAACCCAGGGCCTCATGCATGCAAGGCAAGTGCTCTACCACTGAGCCACCTTCCCAGCCCACCAACACTATCTTATACAAAGAAAATTAAATGCAAAAATGTTCAGCAAAGCATTAGCAAATCAAACTGAATAATTTATAAAAATAATTATGTATCATACCCAAGTGAGACTTAAAGTATTTGTTAGTTCATCATTTAAAATTATTGCATTCTGCATGGAATTGAAACATGTTTATATAACTACTTACTAAAATTTTAAAAATAGTTGTATTCCATCACAATACAGGCTAACAAAATCACTACTCAAAAGGAAGAGGCAGAGGATCTCAAGTTCAAGGCCAGTCAGTCAATATTAGGAAGGACTGGAGGCATGACTCAAGTGATGAGTACTTGCTTAGCATATACAAGGCCTGGATTCAATCTCCAGTATCACAAAATAAAATAAATAAGAAAGTAAATAAAAATAAAAAATCCAACAACTGGGGATGGGAAGGTGGCTCAGTGGTAGAGCACTTGCCTTGCATGCCTGAGGCCTTGGGTTCGATTCCTCAGTACCGTATAAGCAAAAAGAAAAAAGCTGGAAGTGACGGTGTGGCTCATGTGGTAGAGCGCTAGCCTTGAGCTGAAGAGCTGAGGGACAGCACCTAGGCCCAGAGTTCAGGCCCCACAACTGGACCCAAAAAAAAAAAAAAAAAAAAACCAACAACTTTTCATGATAAGAAAAAAAAGTAGAAACAGAAAAGAACTTCCAGCCAGGTGCTCACACCTGTAATCCTAGTTACTCAGGAGGTTGAGATCTGAGGATTGTGGTTCAAAGCCAGCCCAGGCAGGAAAGTCTGTGAGACTTTTATCTCCAGTTAACCACAGAAAACTGGAAGTGGTGCTGGGGCTCAGGTAGTAGAGAGCTAGCCTTGAGCTGAAGACCTCAGGAACAGCATCCAGGTCCAGAGTTCAAGTGTCATGGCAGAAAAAAAAAAAAAAGATATACAACTGGGAAGAAAGAATCTTTCTTTGGTCACATATGGCATTTTCTATGAACAAAATCCATAAGAATTAACAACTCCTGCAACTACATACCAAGGTTGCAAGTTACAGAAGTCAATCTCTCCTATATCTTCCTTTTTTGTTTTTTGTGGGAGTTTTTTGCCAGTCTTTGCGCTTGAACTCAGGGCCTGGGCACTGTCCCGAAGCTTCTTTTTGCTCAAAGCTGGCACTCTACCACTTGAATCATATCACCACTTCTGGCTTTTTCTGTGTATGTGGTACTGAGAAATTGAATCAAGGGCTTCATCCTTGCTAGGCAAGTGTTCTACCACTAAGCCACATTCCCAGCGCCACCCCCTCCCCCATTTTTTTGTCATTCATGGGCTTGAACTCTGGGCCTGGGCACTGTCCATAAGTTCTTCTGCTCAAGGCAAGTGCTCTACCACTTGAGCCACAGCGACACTTCTGGTGGTTAATTGGAGATCAGTTTCATGGACTTTCCTTCCTAGTGCTTGCTCTGAACTATGATTCTTCAGATGAGTAGCTAGGATTACAGGCATGAGCCACGGCACCGACCCTATATCTTCCTTTTTACTTTTTTAATTTTTTGGGGGGGTCTGGTCGTGGGGTCTGAACTCTGGGCCTAGGCGCTGTCCCTCAGCTCTTAAGATCAAGGCAAGCGCTCTACCACTGAGCCACCTTCCCAGCCCCTATATCTTCTTTTCTAAAGGAAGTGATTAACTTGCCAGGACTTCAATCTCGAACACCACAAACAATATTAGTATTAATTTATTATTATTAGTTAATAGGAATATTAACACTACACTTTCACTTTCATTACTACACAGGGTCCAAAAAATGAATAAAGAACTTTAGAGTTATACTAGACCGCAGAACACACATTCTTGTCATTAACACATGCACTATTTTCAGGACATGTTAAGACTACACAACAAATCTCAAATCCAACAAAAATCAAACACATCATCTTATCCTCACAATAGGATAAAACCAAAACTCAACAGGAGGAACTACAGAAATTGTAAAAAGCACGTGGAAATTAAACACCAATTTATTGGCCTATAGAAAAATTAAAAAGGGAAATAAAGCCACCCACTGGTAGCTCATATGCCTGTAATCCTAGCTACTCAGGAGACTGAGATCTAAGGACCATGATTCAAAGCCAGCTCAAGAAGACAAGTCCGGGGCTGGGAAGGTGCCTCAGGGGTAGAGCGCTTGCCTTGCAATGCATGAGGCCCTGGGTTCGATTCCTCAGCACCACGTAAGCAAAAAGAAAAAAGCCGGAAATGGCACTGTGGCTCAAGTGGTAGAGCGCTAGCCTTGAGCTGAAGAGCTGAGGGACAGTGCCCAGGCCCAGAGTTCAGGCCCCTATAACCGGACCCAAAAAAAAAAAAAAAAAGAAGAAGAAAAGTCCCTGTGAGACTCTGAACTCCAATTAACAACTCAAAAACCAGAAGTAGCACTCTGGCTCAAAGTGGTAGAGCACTAGCCTTGGACAAAAGAGCTCAGGGACAGCACACAGGCCCTGAGTTCAAGTCCTATAACTGACCATTAAAGAGAGAAATTAGATACTTCTCTGAAACAAAAGAAAGAAAACATAACATAGCAAACCCATAAGATTTAACAAAAATATTACTAGGAGGGAAGTATACAGCAAGAAATTCCTGTGTTTAAATAAAAAGAAAAAAAGATTAAGGAAGCTAAGCGCTGTGGTGTAATTCAAGGAACTAGAAAAGCAGGAACAAATCAAACTCAAAATCAGAAGAAATAATAAAGATCAAAACAAAAATAAAACAGAGACTTAAAAACCAATACAAAGCCAGGTGCTGGTGGCTCACACCTGTAATCCTAATCACTCAGGAAGTTGAGGTCTGAGGCTCACAGTTCAAAACCAGGATAGGAATATCAGTGAGACTCTAGCTTCAGTAAACTACCAAAAAACCTGAAAGTAGAGTTGTGGCTCAAGTGGCATAGCACTATCAGCCTTGAGCAAAAGCAGCTCAGAGACAGCCCCTAGGCCCTGAGTTTGAGCCCCATGACCAGCACACCTGCACACCGGTACACCAACTCACACACACACACAATGTGTGTATATATATATATTCATATATACTTATATATATATACATATATGTACATATATAAAGCAAAAAGTTGATTTTCTACACAAAATTGATTACTCTTTCAGTATGCTAAAAAGAAAAAGTCAAAATATTTTAGAGGACTTCTGTGAACTATATACCAACAACAGGAAAACTTAGAAGAAACAAATTTCTAAGCATCAGACAAAAATTTGTACAAAACAAGGAATATAATTAGTAATAAAAAGTATCCAACCAAGCCGGGTGCTGGTGGCTCACACCTGTAATCCTAGCTACTCAGGAGGCTGAGATCTGAGAATCACAGTTTAAAGCCAGCCCAGACAGGAAAAGTCTGTGAGATTCTTATCTCCAATAAAGCACTAGAAAACTGGAAGTGGTGCTGTGGTTCAAACAGTAGAACGCTTGCCTTGAGCTGAAGAGCCAAAGACAGCGCCCAAGCCCAAAGTTCAAGCCCCACAACTGACGGGAAAAAAAAAAGTATCCAACCAATGTAAGCATGAGTAAAGTGGTAGAGTAACTGCCTACCTACCACAAGGCCCTAAATTTAAACCCTACTACTGACAAAATAAAAATCCTCCAACCAAACAAAAAAAAAGAAATTAATTAAAAAATATAGTCTCCCAACAAAGAAAAGCTAATGCACAAATATGGCTTTGCTGCTAAATTTTACAGACCTTTTACAAAATACCAGGTTTTCTCAATTATTTCAAAAACTGAAGCTTCAAATTCATTCTATAAAGCTAGCATTATTCTGTTATCAAAACCAGCTAAAGACACAGTAACAAATCTAAAGATTAACAGTCCCTGATGAACAGATATAAAAATTCTCAACAAAACACTAGGAAAGCTGGGCACCAATGGCTCACACCAGCAATCCTAGCTACTTAAGAGGGCTGAGATGGGTTAGGAAGGTGGCTCTCAGTAGTAGAGTGCTTGCCTTGCATGCATGAGGCCCTGGGTTGAATTCCTCAGCACCAAATATGCAGAAAAAGTCACAGTGGTGCTGTGGCTCAAATGGTAGAGCAATAGCCTTGAGCTGAAGAGCTGAGGGACAGCACCCAGGCCCAGAGTTCAGGCCCCATGACTGACAAAAAAAAAAGGCTGACATCTAAAAATTATGGCTTGAAGCCAGCCTAGGCAAGAAAGTACTACAGATACTTATCTCCAATTAATTACCAAGAAAAAAAATCAAAGTTGAGTTGTGGCCAACCTAGGCAAATAAAATTAGCAACACACTAAAAAATAAAAATAAAAGTACAAATGAAAAGTATGGATGAGGCCCCCAGATCCAATTTCCAGTACTGCAAAAAAGGTAGTAAATAAAATGTAAAAAAAATAAATTATTAAATGCATAGTAAGCCAAGAATCTAGTACTCATAAGTAGGGATGGGATCAAGGTGAAGGGAGTAGACAGAGAGGAAGGGGGAGTGATGCAATCACAAAACTCAATGCATATTCTACAAAATTGAGAAAATTGAGAGAAGGGGTGGGATTGGGAGGGATGAGCAAGAATGATGAAATGGATGACACTGATAAATATTCATTGTATTCATATATTCATATACTATTTTGTTCAATGGTAATTCCATTGTACAACTAAAGATAAAAATAATTTTTAAAGCAGAAGAAATAAGAAACAACATTTATTATCTACTGAATAAAATGTGATATATTTTGAAACAAGTGATAGTAGGTTTATTTACACCAATCTCCCTATTGTATCACTAAGAGATGGGAATTTTTTAACTCCATTATAAATTTATGGGCCCAGGCAGGGCACCAGTGGCTCATGTCTGTAATCCTAGCTACTCAGGAGGCTGAGATCTGAGGATCACAGTTCAAAGCCAGCCCAGGCAGGAAACTCCTTGAGACTCTTATCTCCAATAAACCACTAGAAAACCGGAAGTGGCACTGTGGCTCAAGCGGTAGAACGCTGGCCTTGAGTTAAAGAGCGTGGGGACAGCGCCCAAGCCCAGAGGTCAAGCCCCACCACCGACAATAAAATAAATAAATAAATAAATTTATGGGCCCAACATCACATATGGCATCCACTGTTGACTCAAATGTCAATCATTTTACATTATATGGCTAACCTTGCCTTCAGCATAGCCACCTAGCAGTAATTTCATTTTTCTGTGTGGCAGAGAGTGGTCCCAGGGTTTGGTTTGAAATAGGCTCAAAGCCTGAAGCCCTTTTTGCTTTTAGTTGTTTTTCAGATGGGTACATTTTTGCCAAGAGCCAGTCTCAAACTCTACTCTCCCAATCTTCACCTCCTCACTAGACAGGATCAGAAGTATACATTACAACACATGATTTCATTCAGCATAACCAAATGTCTTCTTCCTTTTTACTCAATTTCCTTGTACTTAAAACAGTCCCAAAAAATTTTTCACTAAAATGAGAAGCAACTACAAATGCCAACTATATTACTCTTGAAATATATTATCTTTTAAACAGCATTTTGAGCTTTCAGAAAGGACAGAACTCAGGAGAATACTAGTTACTAATTTATACAAAGAAATCATTCAAGACATGTTGGGCTGGGAGGTGTCTCAGTCGAAGAGTGTTTGCCTTGCATGCATGAGGCCCTGGGTTCGATTCCTCAGCACCACATAAGCAGAAAAAGAAGAGCTGAGGGACAGCACCCAGGCCCAGAGTTCAGGCCCCATGACCAACAACAACAACAAAAAAAGACATGTGTTCACATCAAAATGATTTCCAATTTCTTCTCCTGTCATCATCACTGACTGAGTAAACAATAAATTGATTTTTTAAAAACCACATAGAACAGAAAGGATATTTACATTTTTTTGTCTTTTCTGAAGATCTAGCACAGGTTTCTTTGAGTAGATTACATAAATGCCTTGTAGCATAATTCCTGAAATAAGGAAAAATTTTGCCTAAGTACAAGCTGATCTCAAGGAAAAAAATCACATTATTGAACTATAATTATAACAATTTTATTTCATAAATTTGTAAATATCACATATCACATGTAACAATGAAGAAAAATAAACTATACTATTACCAAACATAATTCAGTAAATGTTATGTTTTTAAGGAAAAGTAACAACTCCTTAAGAAATGTCTACCCAAATTACAATAAATAAACATTCCAGATTTGCCTAAGGAGAAATAGTGAAAGGAGAGCTTGATTTATCTTTTACTAATTACCCAAAGATGTTCTAGAGGTCTAACTTTCAAAACCAAAAATAAGATCATTTCTTAAGGAGACATTAATTGTGTAACTATTAAACCTCTTGTTTCTTGGTGAAGTTACTGATATATATATAAAAATATATACACATAATATACATAAATATATACATCACATAATATACACAGAATAAACATTATAACATATATTTTATATGCAACATATATTCATGTACTTACTATGTAATATTTTATATTTCTATGTACTTATATAACACATTCATATATTTTAGATGCTTATACACTTATATTTGTATATTTACATGTAATTTTTATATATTTATGTACTTTTATATTTCTATACTCGATATAACATATTATATATTGTTACATATTTTATAAGATTATAATTATATAACAAGAATATATTATAACATGACATGTATGTGATTAGTACATATTATATGCATTATATATAATGTAATAATTATATTACATACACTTACATATAACTAAATATTGTATATAGTATTATGTAAAATTTATATTAGTATCATCTGTTGTAATGTATAATATACAATAACTATATATTGTTATATATAAAATATGAAAAATATGTAAACATTTATAAATTATACAGCCGTTAGATTTTAGTTTTCAAATTTTTTTATGGGGAAATGAGCTGTCGCTTTTGCAACAACAGGAATTTCAGAATGAGAATCAATCTGAAATTAAGTTGAGCTCTATTCTTCAACTGTTGTACCTAGTGAAACAAATAACATACATAGTGAGTCAGTTATATACACAAAGAATTGAAATCACCTTTTTGATAGTAAGCAATGAGTTTTCCTGATATCTCAAATTTTAAAATGACCAGTTTGCCAAATCCTGGAATGTAGAATGGGTATGTCCTCCTTTCTCCATAGCACTCAAGTAAAAATTATTGACAGTATATAGCTCAATAAATTTTTGAAAACTTTTTTTTAATTTATAATAAGTTTACAAATTCATTATTACTTACTCTTTTATTAAATCTTTATTTTCTTGAATTTCTTCTTCTAATTTCAAGCTTACTTTTTCATTTTCAAACTAATTTATAAAACAGAAGAATAGTTCACATTTTGCTTAGCAACATAAATAAGTATAGTCATTAAGCAGCATTTCTTTGCATACTACAATAGTCTGTAAGAATTATTTCTGTACAAAGAGGAACTTTAAGTCATAGCCTTGAATATACCTTAAGAATGTTGGTATGCCATAGGAATATGGATATACTCTAAGAATATTGGTCTCATTTTCATCAATCTAAAATTTGCTGAATGATCATAAAATTTCCAAAAAGCAATTTTTTTGGGGGGGGGGGGGGGAGTCCGGTCATGGGTCCTGAACTCTGGGCCTGGGCGCTGTCCTTCAGCTCTTCAGATCAAGGATAGCACTCTCCCACTTGAGCCACAACGCCACTTTGGCTTTTTATCTTTTTGCTTATGTGGTGCTGAGAAATCGAACCCAGGGCCTCGTGCATGCAAGGCAAGCGCTCTACCACTTAGCCAACTTCCCAGCCCCAGCCAAAAAGCAATTTTAATGCAATGTTATCTCTCCACTAATACTTTGAAGTAATACTTATCTAAATTTTGAATTTTCTCACTAGTTAACTAACTAGTTTCAAAGTTAAATACATAAATATCCTATTCTGATATAATGCCAAGACAGTTATATCAAGTAAAACATGCGTAACAAAAATTTAAACAATAAATTACTATCAATAAATCAGTCTTTATGTGAAACAACTTATTTCTCTATTTTGCCTTGTTTTATGCAACTTGTCCTATGCTCACTCCTAAAAGATAAACCACAATTGTCAATATTAAAATTAATATTAAAATCCCTAACCTTGTAGCTAGGTGTGCTACCTCACACCTGTAATCCTAGCTACTTAAAGGTTAGCCTCCATCTAAAATGTTAGCAAGACCCTATCTCAAAGAACAAAGCTGGGTGTGGTAGTTCACATCTGTACTTCCAGCTGTGCAGTAGGATGATTGTGATCAGTCTAGAAAAAACTTGAGAGTAAGATACTATCTGAAAAATAAGGTAAAAATGATTAAGGGTTTGGCTAAAGTCAGGTACTAGGCATTACGTCCACACCCCAGAATCACAAATGTTAATATGAAACTCTTTTCACAATCCCCATCACAAAACTTTTATATTTATATATAATCCTACCCACTGAGAAGACTGAAATCTGAATCTTGAGGTTGAAGCCAGCCTGGGTATACAAATCCTAGGCACAATTTATCTACAACTAACCAGTAAAAGAATCTGGAACTGAAGACATGGCCCAAGTGGTAGAGCACCAGCCATGAATGGAAAAAACCTGAGCAAACATAAGTCCCAGAACTAGGACAAAAGAAATTCCTATCACAGGGGCTGGGAAGGTGGCTCAGTGGTAGAGCACTTGCCTTGCATGCCTGAGGCCCTGAGTTCAATTCCCCAGCACCACATAAGCAAAAAGAAAAAAAAGCCGGAAGTGGCACTGTGGCTGAAGTGGTAGAGCGCTAGCCTTGAGCTGAAGAGCTGAGGGACAGTGCCCAGGCCCAGAGTTCAGGCCCCACGACCAGACCCCCCAAAAAATATAATAAAAGAAAGAAAAGAAATTCCTATCACAGAAACAATATTAACCTACCTGGAAATATATAATATTTACAATATATTATTATATTTACAATTTAGAATTTCATTATACCTGTAGTTCCTGAATGGCTTTTCGCTGTGCTTCAATTATCTTCCTATTTTCTTGTAATTTTGTTTCTTTCTGCTTCAATTCAGATTCTATATTCACTTTCCATTTTTTTATTTTTTCAGCTTCTTTGTACAATTTTGAATACAGTCTGCTCATTGGCTCTGAATTCTATTAAAATGAGTTTTCAAAATTAATTTTTCAAAATTATAATAAAATCAAACTACAACTGCCTATCAAAAAATATCCTAAGATAATGGTGACCAATTCTCCAATCCACTTAGGCTCTAGCAGTATAATAAAAACTAGATTAACTCTGTAAACTATTAAGGCAGTACTAGCTGCTCCAGTAAAGCTACTGGTGACTTGGCACTGGTGGCGCATGCTTGTAATCCTAGCTACTCAGGAGGTTGAGATCTGAGGATCCAGCCAAGGGAGGAAAAGTCTGTGAGACTCTTATCTCCAATAAGCCACCAAAAACCAAAAGTGGCACTGTGGTCAAGTGGTAGAGCACTTGCCTTGAGCTGAAGACTGAGGGACAGCACCCAGGCTCAGAGTCCCAGCCCTACATAACCAACAACAACAAAAAAAAAAAAAAGCTACTGGTCACTGGACTAGTAGTTAGAAATAAAAGAATATGGCTGAGGAAAAAACTAAATCACCCTGCAAGACATGTTATATGTTAACAACAGTTTTGAAACATTTGTAGAAACAATGTCAAGAATATGAAATTTAAAACATGACAAGAAAATAGTGAACAGAAAATATGACTTTCATTGAGACAAATGTTTTACTCAGATGTGTTGCCTTTCTTTTAATTTTCACATTATATTGTAAAGGCCAGAGGATTTTCTTAGTTTTTGAGTGTTTATTTTGTGCTTTTGCAGGACTGGGCTCTAACACAAGCACTGTATCACTGAGCTTCCCCTCCAATCCCTACTTTTTTTTTTCTTGGGGGGGGTAGATTGATATCTACTTGTCATCAAAATATGAATAGATTCCAAAATTTTAAATTATTATACTATGTATTAGCCACAACAGTGGCTGATATATATACATATATATATAAAATGATGGATTATTTATTATGTATATTGTATATAAGGAAGGAAAGAAAGGAAAAACAGAAGAAAGGAAGAATTTTTTTTTTTTTTATTGGTCGTGGGGCTTGAACTCTGGGCCTGGGCGCTGTCCCTCAGCTCTTCAGCTCAAGGTGAGCACTCTACCATTTGAGCCACAGTGCCACTTCCAGTTTTCTGAGTGATTTATTAGAGGTAAGAGTCTCACAGAGTTTCCTGCCTGGGCTGGCTTTGAACTGTGATCGTCAGATCTCACTCAGCCTCCTGAATAGCTAGGATTACAGGCATGAGCCACAAGAATCCAGCAAGAAAGTTGTTTTTTAAAAAACTAGCCAAATAATCATTTGGAAGCCTGAAAAGAAAGATATGTATGATACTCCACATATGAGAATATTAAGAATGGGAAATCTGACCTCAAAATCAGAGTCATTGAGTCCTTCCTGGTAGTGGCAACTTCCAGAATTGTCAACCTAAAAATATGAGTATTTTCTATAAGAAAATATGTGTAAGACTTTCCAAATAAGAGCAAAATACATAAGACTACTAGACAAATAATACAACAACTAAAGACTTTTGTTTTCTTCTTCAAATAAGCAATCATATCTACACATGTTATGCTTAACTGACCTTCTCAAGTATGGGCAAAAGATTAAGCTTTTGTAAAGCAGGATCTGCAAGATAAAGAGACAACTGCTATTAAATATGCCAATATTTCATTTTTGTATCATTATGTCTAGCTTTAAGTGAAGGACATCAATTATTATATTGTGTTTTCAATAATTGCAAAATACGTAATAAGATGATTCTATGTAAACCAATACATTGCTTCTCTTAGGCTCTTACCTGAATCAATAGTTTTCCCATTTTTGGAGATACTGGTCATTGCAAATGGAAAACCAAATTCATCTTCAATACATTTGTTGAAATTCTGGAAATATAAAGTTCTTAAATATATTGTTCCAAACCACCTAGAAACCTAGCGGTGTTAACATATAAATAAGTATCTACTTATCTGCTTAAAGAAGCCACTATAATTTTAAGGCTTTTGCTTTACACACAGTAAAGCTCTCTAGCTACTTGAGATGGGAGAATTGTTTGAGCGGCATAGCTAGGCAAAAATGTCCTAAACTAAAGGCTGGGCATAGTGGCATGAGCCTCCCATCCCCAGTTACACAGTACAGACCAGCTCAGGCATGAATAGAGACACTATCTCAAAAATAACCAATTAAGGGGGGAGATGGGGAGGGATGGAAAGGGGAAACAAAGGAGGAGGCAGCAATGCTTGATAAGAAATGTACACATTACCTTGCTCATGTGATTGTAACCCCTCTGTGTGGTATTTTCACAATAAAATAAAAAAACAAAAAAAATTAAAAATTGCTAGGAACATAGCACCTGCCTAGCACACACCTAAGTTCAGACTCCAGTTACACACACAACCCCTCAGACACACTATTTTGATATGCAAATAAAACATGCTAAAACAAAGTATATTCACTTTAAAAAATCTAAACTATATATAACTAATATATAGCTATAAATTATTTAACACAAGCTCTCTAGATATTCAAAAATAATTTTACTAGGTAATAGCATAAAATAGTTTCCTTAGATTTCCTTGTGATCTTTCCCTCAAATTAAAAATTGTCTTCATTTAATATCATTTTTTCAGTTGTTTTCCATTTGGAGTGTGACTAAGACAAGATCTTTCTATGTAGTCTAAACTGGCTTGAAACTTTTATAAAATCCTCTGGCTCTGCTTCCCTTGTGTTCGGTTATAGTTTTGTGCTACCATACCCAGCTCTGAATAAATTTTTAAATATCTATCTTAGCTGTTGCACCAATTTAAAAAAGAAATCTCCCAGGCACAGGTGGCTCACACCTGTCAGGAAGCTGAAATCTGAGGATCCTGATTCAAATCAGGATCCCAGCCCAGATAGGAAAGTCTGTGAGATTTTTAGCATCACTTGACCACCAGAAAACTGGAAGTGGAGCTGTGGCTCAAGTGGTAGAGCACTGGTTTTTGAGCTAAAGAGCTCAGGGACAGTGCCGGGCACCAGTGGCTCATGCCTGTAATCCTAGCTACTCAGGAGGCTGAGATCTGAGGATCACAGTTCAAAGCCAGCCCAAGCAGAAAACTCTGTGAGACTCTTATCTCCAATAAACCACTAGAAAACTGGAAGTGGTGCTATGGCACAAGCAGTAGAGCACTTGCATTGAGCTGAAGCGCTCAGGGACAGCACCCAGGCCCAGAGTTCAAGCCCCACAATTGACAAAAATAAATCTACAACATATAAATTAAAATACTTTTGGTAGCTTACACCTGTAATCCTAGCTGCTCAGGAGACAGATCTCTGAGGATCACAGTTTCATGCCAGACTAGGCAGGAAAAGTCAGCGAGACCCTTCAGTTAACCACCAAAGGGCCAGAGTGGTGGGTGTTGTGACTCAAATGGTAAGGTGCTAGCCTTGAGCAAAAACCCTCAAGAACAAGCACCCTGGCCTTGAATTCAAGCCCCAGGACCAGTACACAAAATAAACAAAAACAAAAAACAAAACTGCATTGCCGGGTACCGGTGACTCAGGCCTGTAATCCTAGCTACTCAGGAGGCTGATATCTGACCATCACGGTTCAAAGCCAGCCCAGGCAGAAAAGTCCGAGAGTCTTATCTCCAATTAACCACTAGAAAACCGGAAGTGGTGGGGTGGCTCAAGTGGTAGAGCACTTGCCTTGAGCTTAAGAATGCAAGGATAGGGCTGGGAAGGTGGCTCAGTGGTAGAGCGCTTGCCTTGCAATGCATGAGGCCCTGGGTTCGATTCCCCAGCACCACATAAGCAAAAAGAAAAAAGCCGGAAGTGGCGCTGTGGCTCAAGTGGTAGAGCGCTAGCCTTGAGCTGAAGAGCTGAGGGACAGCACCCAGGCCCAGAGTTCAGGCCCCACAACTGGACCCAAAAAAAAAAGAAAAAAGAGAATGCAAGGATAGCACCCAATCCCAGAATTCAAGCCCCACAACCGACCAAAACAACAACAACAACAACCTGCATTATCCTGCCTCCAATATAAATACACAAGGAATTTTTAAAAATAAATCATTGGTATCAAAAGCTTTGTTTCACCTGAGAAACTTGGTAAAAGCTTCACTTTTATAGGTGGGTTTTCCTCTTTATCCTGTCTCCCAGGAAGCACTGGACAAAACCTGAAACTCACTCTGAACACTAATTTTTGCCCATGTCAGCATTTGTCCAATTCTTCGGAAATTTTCCTATCTTACTTTATGTATCTTATAAATGGCCTCGAACCTTTTAAGGAAAGAAGGTATATTTAAGTAAACAGGTCCTACTATATACAGAGTTCCAGAGATTGTTACAACGTATTTAAGTAAACGATATGTACACACAGTAAAGCTCAGCAGTTATGTTTGTATTATTTTGGTGGGGGGGAGGGGATTACGAAAGCCGGGCTCCAGTGGCTCCCACCTGTCATCATAGCTACTCATGAGGCTGAGATCTGAGGACCGAGGTTCAAAAAAGGGGCAGGAAAGTCCATGAGACTCATCTTCAGTTAACCACCAGAAAACCCGAAGTGGCCATGTGGTTCAAGTGGTAGAGCGCTGGCCTTGAGCTGAAGAGCAGCGCCCAGGCCTGAGTTCAAGCCCCACGACCAACAAAAAAATGAAATTACCTTGAAGAAGCTGGACTCTCCACCCGAGGTCTGAGGTTTCACAGCGGACACCTGGCTGCTGCTTAGTCTTGGCGGCACAAACAGCTTAAAGGGCTTTTGCTTTTCCATTTTTCTCTGGTGTCGCTACACGGTGGGCAGCGTTGTAACTGCAACCTGAGAACCGCGCAGAGGCTTTATAAAATGAAGGTGCTGGCGTCGCGGCGGGCCCCGGGCCTCGGGCCCGCCGCCCCGCCCGCCGCTCCCCCCACCCCCCAGGCCGCGCGCCCAGCGGCAGCACTGTGGGCCTCACACACCCGCAGCCCGTCCGCCGGCGTCCGAGGGGCCCACCACGCGGGGCCGCCCCGCCGCCCGGCCCCAGGCGCCGCCCCGGCCCCCCGTGCCGCCCTCGTGCGGTCCTCGTTGCTGCCCTCGTGCCGCCCTCCCTCCCAGCCCCGCAGCCCCGCTCCGGGTTCCATCTTAGGAAAAGGAACTTGGATGCCTGCCCTCACCTTCGAAGAACCAGCGGGAAGCACGGCGCAGGGCCCGCGCGGGCTGCCCACTACCGGGACATGAGAGACCCGCGCGAGCCTCGGCCTGCCACAGGCCTCGGCTTCGGGCCTCGGAAAGGGCGGGGAACGAACGGCGCTCCCAAGAGCTGAGGGCGGCTGGCAGCGCGACGGTTAGCCTCAAAAATAACGGCTGGGTCCGGGCCAGCCCCTGCGAGACCGCGACGTCTCGCGATACTCTCGCATTATACACCCTCCCCACACCCCCCAGGCTGACCAACGTTCTGCAGGCGGCCCCGGATGCACACTGTGGGCCAGGCGGGTGAGGCGTGGACGCGCACGGCGGGCAGGCGTGGACGCGCACGGTGGGCCAGGCGGGCGAGGCACGGAGCACACTGGTGGGTTGCGCGCAGGGACGGGTCAGACACCCCTGGCTCCAGCCCCAGAAAGAATGTGTGCGTGTGCGTGTGTGCAGAGCACTGGGCGCCATGTAATCATCTAAAGGCGTTGTCACCGCCTGTGTGGAATGGAACGAAAGTGCCATTAGTTGGCTCTATCTCTGTGCCTGCAGGACTGAAGACAGCCTCAGGAGAAGAGTTAGCTAGACTGGTGACATATCCATCTGTCATGGTGGGGAGTGGAGGCGCTCCTGCCCTGGCAGCCAGGAAGCAGAGAAAGGAGCAACAGGGAGAGGACTGGGCCCCAGACCACCGCAGGACACCTAGAACAGGCCCCCAAGGACACACCTGTAATCATGGCAGTTCAAGAGGCTGCACTCCCAGGACTGGGTTTGAAGCCAACCCAAGATTTAAGTCCCTGAGACTCTTATCTCCACTTAAACACCAAAAAGCTGGAAGTGGAGCTGTGGCTCTAGTGGTAGAGTGCTCGCAGAAAAACCTTGCAAGAGCAAGGTTTTTGTACACTTGAGCCACAATTCTACTTCCAGATATTTGGTGGTTAATTGAAGATGATGAGTCTCAGGGCTGGGCGCTGGTGGCTCACGCCTGTAATCCTAGCTACTCAGGAGGCTGAGATCTGAGGATCGTGGTTCAAAGCCAGCCCGGGCAAGAGAGACCGTGAGACTCGTATCTCCAATAAACCACCAGAAAACCGGAAGTGGCGCTGTAGCTCAAGTGGTAGAGCACTAGCCTTGAGCTGAAGAGCTGAGGGACAGCGCCCAGGCCCAGAGTTCAGGCCCCACAACCGGACCCAAAAAAAAAAAAAAAAGAGTCTCAGGGACTTTCCTGCTCAAGCAGGCTTTGAACCTTACTCCCCAGATCTCATCCTCTGAGCAGTTGAGATTACAGGTGTGAGCTGCCAGCACCCAGCTTCCCAGCTCTCATCACATTCTGTCCTGCATATCATTACTTATATATGTTAAAAACTGGAGGAGAAAGAACAGGGTGGACTCGATTCTCAACAGGCCAGGACTGTTTATGGAGACACAGCAGCAACGGGCAGCAACCTTCAGGGGATGAAGGTTGTGCAAGGAGGTAGGGTTGGAGTTAAGCTTTTATGGAGTTTGAGCAAGGAAACAGAGGTTATCTAAAGACTATTAGGGCTGAAGGAGGTGGGGATTTTCAGTTAGGCCCACAGTGGAATGTTTCCAACCAGGCTTTGGTCAGATTGTCCTACCTGCATCAAGCATGTCCACACACCTGGTTTCTCGCCTGGGATAATAGAGTATGAGTCAGTCCTTAGGTATATAAGTGTGATTTCCTACCTAAAAGGAAATGTTTAGTTCAAGCTCCACAACCGACAAAAAAAAAAAATTTTTATCTTTGCATTCCTTTAGTAGTAGACGACCCATATCATGGTCAGGACAACAGGTTTGGGGTAGGGAATGTTTGCTGAGAATCTACTATTAAAGTACGCTGTGAGCTGGGCATCAATGACTTGCCCCTCTCATCCCAGCTACTCGGGAGGCTGGGCTCAGAGGGTAGCTGTTGGAAGCCAGCCCAAGCAGGAACATCCAGGAGATTCACCTCCAATGAACCAGCGTAAAGCCGGAAGTGGAGATGTAGCTCAAGTGGTAGAACTGTAGCCTTGACCAAAACATCCAAGGCTGCACCCGCACACATCCTAAGAAACTAAGCCCTGTGCCAGAACAGGTCCTTCAACCAACCCTCCCATCTAGGTCCAGCGCGTGTCCCGGGGTCGCCCAGGGAAGGGCAAGCCGCCTCTGCGCACGCGCAACCCCGACTGCGGAAGCGCCTTTCGAAGGGTCCAGGAAGTGACGCGTGGAGCGCTGAGCCGGGGTGCGGAGGTCTGACGTCGGCGAGCAGGGCTGGGCTGCTGGGCTCGGCGCGATGAGCTGCACCATCGAGAAGATCCTGACGGACGCCAAGACGCTCCTGGAGAGGCTGCGGGAGCACGACGCGGCCGCGGAGTCCCTGGTGGACCAGTCCGCGGCGCTGCACCGGCGAGTGGCCGCCATGCGGGAGGCGGGCTCGTCGCTTCCGGACCAGGTCGGGCGGGGGCCCGAGTGCCGGTGCCCGTGCGCCGGGGGCGGGGGCGGGGGCGGCGCGGCGGCGGCGGGGACCCGGTGGGCTCGGCCGTGACCGGCCCTGGTCCCCAGCACGCCTACCACTTCCCATCAACGCCCATCAGTTCCATCCCAGTGCTTCCACCTTGGCTCTTTACCACGCTCTTCTGTCTGCCCGTCTGTCTACCCAGTATCAAGAGGATACATCCGACGTGAAAGACACAGCCAAATACAAACCTCACGTTCTGCTGTCCCAAGAAAACACACAGATTAGAGACTTGCAGCAGGAAAATAGAGGTTAGTGAGACCTATTGGGCTTTTTTTCCCCCTTCCGTATCTGGCAATAGTTTAAAAGTTGTTGCAAAACTGCCTAAACAGTTCACAAATGTGCATTCTATGATTAGTGCATTTTAGATGCATTTTAATAACTATGTCTGTCACTGTTATGATTATCTGACTGCTTCGCATTCACACACATCCCATATGGCTTAGTATGCATATGTGCATGCATGCCAGGCCTGGGCTTGAACTTAGGGCCCCAGCTCTGCCCCTGAGCTTTTCTGCTCCAGGCTAGTGCTCTATCATTTTGAGCCACAGCTCCAGTTCCCATCTTCTTTGTGCTTAGTTGAAGATAAAGAGTCTCATGGTCTTTCCTCCTGGCCTGGAACCATGGTTCAAATATCAGCCTCCTGAGTAGCCATGAATACAAGTGTAAGGCATGGACACCCAGCTGGATGAATTTTTTTTAAGGTGGAGGCTTGCATAACAAGAGTTCCTATTCTCAAAGACTCAGAATTTAAATACTAGAATACAAATTGTAGTTAAGATTAAAAGTTTTATGCAGTCTTTTGCAAGATGGAAAAGCAGAATTGTGTTCTCAGATATATATATATATTCTTAGAGCTGATAATGATTTAATAGTTGTATATCCGCTTACAGCTTTCACATCTATCATTCCACTAAGTTTCTGCTTAGGTTCTTGTGTCTTCATTTCAAGGTAGACAAAGCAAGTATTTACACAATGCGGGTGAGAAATAGGATCAGCAGTGGGATGCAGCTCAGTGGCACAGCACTTGCCTAGCAAGAATGAGGCCCTGATTCAGTCTCCAACACTGGAAAAGAAAAACAGGATTGGAAAAAGTTGAAGGATCAGTTGCTTATGAGTGTTAACCACAGAATCCATGTATTCTAACTAGGCTGCCTCTCCTAAAATGTTATTTTTTTATATAGGCTTGTGTATTGTTGTGGACTTAAATTCTGACTTACTGCTTTGAATTAAAAGTAACTCGTGTGATTTCATAAAATTCCCAACTGTTTAGTTTGGAGGCTGGGAGTGTTCCTAGTATGCTTGGCTGTGTGAGCTCTCTTGCAGACATCACTACCATTGTGCTTTATTATTTTGTCAGAGCTGTGGATTTCCCTGGAGGAACACCAGGATGCTTTAGAGCTTATCATGAGCAAGTACCGGAAGCAGATGCTACAGTTAATGGTTGCTAAGAAAGCAGTGGATACAGGACCAGTCCTCAGAGCTCACCAGTCTCACTCTGCAGTAAGAAATGCTGATAAATCAATTCTAGAGCCGACTTTATATTGAGAGACTGTTTTAGTTTGTGTACTTTTTTTTTTTTAAAGTATTTCAAGTTTATCGTATTTGTGGTTGATTTTGCTGTGCTTTTCTGAGGACAGAAATAGGGAGCAAGGCAGAGGGAATGCTCAAGTCCTCCTGAGTAAGGCTAAAGTTGCTCTTCCATCCCCCATCAAGATCCGTTTTCATCATGATAAGGGGTATTTGGGAGGAGACAGAAGCTCATTGTGATGAGCTTAAGGCCAGGCTGGGTGACAGAGCAAGGCCAATTCCAGAGTACCTGTTAATTTTGAATAGGCACAGTAAACATTTTGGCTGGTGGTTTTTTCTATGTTTTATTAAACTAAATTTCTTGATTGTAAGAAGCAAGAACTGTAAGAATCTTTGTTGTGTAAAGAATAGTTTCTGGATTACCAAGGCCAGCAAGAAACCATTATTAAATTATGCTATTAGAAGAGAGAAACTGTTTTTGTAAGAAGGCATACTTTCTACACATTGGTTGCTTATAATTGGGAGACCGAGTAATTGTTTTCAGCGGTGGAGTGCTACTCAGTTTGTATTATGTAATTGTACTCATAGATAGCTGCCTCAACCAGGTACTAGTGATTCACACCTGTCAGCCTAGTTACTCAGGAGACAGAGATCTGAAGATCGTAATTCAAAGTCAGCTCAGACAAACAAATCTGTCAGACTCTTATCTCCAATTAACCAGCATAAAACTAGAAGTGAAGGAGTGGCTTAAACAAGGAAGCACCAGCCGTAAGTGAAAAACTAAAAGGAGAGTATGAGGCCCAAGGTCAAGCCCCATTTCCTGGCACATGCACACAAAAATAAATTGGAGCCTCATTAGTTGCTACAGTGAAAGTACACCTTAGATTCCATTGGATACATATTACTGGCTTAACTGTTTTGGAAGAAAAGAATATTTTAGACATCTGAATGGCTTTCATATAAAAGCAAAAGGTAAAATATTTTCTGTGATCCAGAAAAGAAAAGTTGGTAAGCAGAGTTTTGCTCACATTCTGAGAAATCTATCCAAAGATAAAGATACCTTGTACTTCGATAAGCTTCTTACCAATAAACATATTCAAGGGGCTGGGAAGGTGGCTCAGTGGTAGAGCGCTTGCCTTGCATGCCTGAGGCCCTGGGTTCGATTCCTCAGCACCACATAAGAAAAAAGAAAAAAGCCGGAAGTGGCGCTGTGGCTCAAATGGTAGAGTGCTAGCCTTGAGCTGAAGAGCTGAGGGACAGTGCCCAGGCCCAGAGTTCAGGCCCCATGACCGGACCGAAAAAAAAAAAACATATTCAAATTTAAGTTGAACAGCCACTTAGACAATAATTAGACTTTAATTAATTTGAGGGATCTCTTTTGAGACAGGATCTTATTATGTAATCCAGGCTGACTTCAAACTGTCCTCCTGCCTCAGCCTCCTGAGTGTTAGGATTATAGGCATGTGCCACTATATCCAGCTAAAGTTGATATTTTGAAAAATTATGTACTGTATTAGATTTTAGTGTAGCTTATATAGCATGGATTATATTAACATGTTAATTTTTTCAAGGTAGCATATTTTTAAATGAACTTTCAAAAATCAAAATGCAGGGACTGGGAAGGTGGCTCAGGATAGAGCGCTTGCCTCGCATGCATGAGGCCCTGGGTTCGATTCCTTAGCACCACATAAGCAGAAAAAGCTAGAAGTGGTTCTGTGGCTCAAATGGTAGAGCGCTAGCCTTGAGCTGAAGAGCTGAGGGACAGCACCCAGGGCCAGAGTTCAGGCCCCATGACCAGACCAAAAAAAAAAAAAAAAAATCAAAATGCATGTGTTGATCTGTTTTTCATATCTAAACAAGACAGTTTTTCACTTAACATTTTTCATAGGCAATTGAGAGCCAGATTGACCGAATCTGTGAAATGGGAGACATAATGAGGAAAGCGGTTCAGGTGGATGATGACCAGTTTTGTAAGGTGCAGGAAAAGCTAGCCCAACTAGAGGTAAGATGATTGTAAAATTTTTCTTTCTTTTTCTTTCTTTGGCAGTACTGATATTGGACTCCAGGACCTTGAAATTGCTAGGCTGGCACTGTACCTCTGAGCCATTCTTCAGCCCTGTTTTTGGGTTGTTTATTTTCAGGTTAGGTTCTAGTTTTCCGCTGGACATGCACAGGACTGAAATCTGCCTATGTAAGGCTTCTTGTAGGGCTGGGAAGGTGGCTCAGTGGTAGACTGCTTTCCTTGCATGCATGAGGCCCTGAGTTTGGTTCCTCAGCACCACATAAGCCAAAAAGGCCAAAAGTGGTGCTGTGGCTCAAGTGGTAGAGTGCTAGTCTTGAGCTGAAGAGCTGAGGAACAGTGCCCAGGCCCACAACCAACCACCCCCTGCCCCCCCAAAAAAAGCTTCTGGTAGCAGCTAGGATGCAGACAAGCACCCCAGCCGTGTGCTGACAAGCATGTGACCTCTCCTACCCCAGCTCCATTGAACCGAAGTCATCCCAGTCTCAGTCTCCCAGCCAACTAGGTCTGCAGGTGTGAACTACCAGCATTGGTTGTTTCAGTTTTTCAAAGTTTCTATACCGTATAGAAGATGTAGAAACTTATCATAACACCCCGGATGAGGTCTCACCAGACAGGCCTCCCTGTGTTCACTGTATTGATGTTTTCTGTGTGCTCATGATTTAAAAGTTCCTGCCAGACACCCGTATCTCATACCTATAATGGTAGCTACCCAGAAGGCTGAGATATGAGGATCAAGGTTCAAAGCCAGGCCAGGCAAACAAATCTAAGAGATTTTTATTTCCAGTAAATGAACAAAAAGCTGGAAGTAGGGGCTTGGCTCAAGTGGTAAAACACCAGCTAAGACTGAAAAAGTTGATGCAGGTCCTGAATTAAAATTCTAGTACTGACAAGTGCTGGTAGCTGACACCTGTAATCCTAGCTACTCAAGAGGCTGAGATCTTGAGAATCCTGGTTCAAAGCTAGCTGGGCAGGAAAGTCCATGAGACTCTTATTTCCAATTAGCCATCAGAAAACCAGAAGTTGGGCTGTGGTTAAAGGTGGTAGAGCACTAGCCTTGAGCACAGAAGCTCAGGGACAGTGCCCAGAACCAGAGTACAAGACCCACAATAAACAAACAAAAAATAAATAAAATAAAAAATAAAAATAAATAAAAAATAAAAATAAATAAAAATTAAGCTCTAATACTAGCACACATACACACGCAAAATTCCTTCTTGATACTCTTTTCATGAAAAGAAATGCAGTAAAGAGTAACCAATGAAAATATCAACTGTGTATTGACTAGAAGTTAAGAGAAAATGGAAGGAACAAGTTATGAGTGCCAAAATTCCTAATCTTCCAGAATAGGAAGTCAGATAATATCTAAAATTGATGGTCAGGAAATAGCATTAGTGGCAGATTGTTTGAAATTATGGAAGTAGGGGCTGAGAAGGTGACTGTGTGGTAGAGTGCTTTCCTTGCATGCATGAGGCCCTGGGTTCGATTCCTCAGCACCACATAAGCAGAAAAAAAAAGCTGGAAGTGGTGCTATGGCTCAAGTGGTAGAGCGCTAGCCTTGAGCTGAAGAGCTGAGGGACAGCACCCAGGCCCAGAGTTCAGACCCCACGACCGGACCCAAAAAAAAAAAAAAAGACAAATTATGGAAGTAAATATCAAAAGAAATAAAGTGTTAACCAAGCATGGTAGTATGCACACTTGTAATCCTAGCACTCAGGAGGTCTGAAGAATCATGATTTTCAGAACTACATAATGAAACTGTTAAAAAAGAAAATCTTGGTCCTTCACACATCAGGAGTGCCTTGCTCTCTGCTAGGGCATCAGCTTTGAGTGCCAGGGAATTCACAGCTGCTGAGAGAGATACAGTAGTTGCTGGTCTTACAGAAAACCTTGTAATCAATTATGGCTGCATTTGTGAAGAGTCACTTCCAAGATATTAAGAATGAGAGTCAATGTTGAAACTATTTCTCCAACAAGAGCCAAAGGAGTTGCATTTGTAACATTCAAAGAAAAAGATGTTGCAGACAATGTCGTGAGAAAAAAGAAATATTGCCTAGATGGGAAGGCTAGACATACTCAACTCAAAGTATCCCATCTGAGTGAAAAGGTTTTCAGCTCTATAAAGACTCTCCTGGATCTCTCCAGTTTTCAGAGTCAGTTTGTACTGGAAAGAGTGGTCATGGATCTAGAAAAGGAAAACCCCACTTTATTCTTCGGGCCTTTGGAACCCAGTGGAAGAATCTACATGGAGGGATCACTTCTCCCTCTCAAGAAGCTCAATGAGTCTTTGCTAACAAAAGCACTTTCTTCTTTAGAAAAAAGTAGGAATTTCTCCAGGGAAGGGAGGCAGTGGAATAGACAGCTACCAGAGGTGACCAGAGAAAAATGCCAACTCAGTGGCCACATGCAAGACTGATTCCTGTGTGTCTGCAGGAAGCAGGGAAACATGCATGCTTGACACAGATGTTCACCTTTACCTCAAACCGAAGTGTGATGTTGATGAAAACACCTTATGATGATTTTGTATTCAAATTCGGGAGAGGGTGAGTGGCAAACTCACCATCATTTATCGAAGAGATGCCCAGGCTGGGGCCCAGACCAACAGCACCCAGCGAGTGAGGCAGCTCATCGACCTTCACCTGGAGCTCAGAAGAGAGACATTTCTTTTTGAAGGAAAGACAAGAGAGAGAGAGAAACAATCTTACACAGGCATGTAAAATACTCGTTCAAAGTACCTGAAGGTTCTGGTTCATGTTTACAGCACACAAATTGATATTATAGGGTCATTTTCTGACACTTAACCTGTTTAAAAAAGAGGTCATGAAACAAACAGGGCACATTCTGATAGGCAAAAATTAGACTTAAAGGACACCAGGATACGATAAATTACACAGAATTCTAGGTATTCACACACAGTGAGAATACTTACATATGCAGTATTTATATAAAGTAATTTACGTATTGAAACAAACTCCAAGATATGGAAACCAAAGATCTCTAAGTTTTAGTTTTTAATGATTCTATCTTCTTTGCTCTATGTATGGTGTATTCAAGTGTACACCTTAGGAAGGGTTGTGGAGAGGATTCAGAACGTGAGGGAGAAAGGGTGAAAAAGTACAGCATTGAAGCTCAGTCAACACTGAGTAGAGACAGGGTGGGGTGGGAGGGATTGAGAGGGAGGAAGAGAACAGAAGACATGTACTCATGACCTGACTCATGGAATTGTAATCCCTCTATAATAATAATAAAATAAATTAATTTTAAAAAGAAATAAAAGGTCATGAGGTTAATAGGGGCAAACAGCAAGTTTGTGAAATGTCAGCCATAGCAATAGTAATAGCTGCTTTCCTTAGTGAGTAGTGGCAATGCCCTGCTTGGTAATAGCTGCTTTTATCCTTAGTGGCTGTCTTCATTGTAATGATTATTGTCTCCATGTTACAGAGTAGAAGCAAGGAGGGCTTAGAGAAACTAAGGCTCTTACCAAAGTTAACCAGCTGACAAGGAATGAAGTTGGGGCTTAATGTAGTCTATCTGAAAGCAAAGGTACTATCTAAACAAAATTTGTCCAAATTGGAAAAAAAAAAAATCTTAGGTTTGGTGCCAGTAGTTTACACTTTTAATCCTAGCTGCATGGGAGGCCAAGATCAGAGGATTGTGGTTCAAAGCCAGTCCGGCAGTAAAGTCCATGGGATTCTTTAATTAATCATCAAAAAGCCAAAAGTGGAGCTGTGGCTCAAGCGGCAGAGCACTAGCCTTGAGCTGAAAAAGCTCAGAGACAGTACCCCGACAAATTTTGAATGGCAACTACTTTGTACAACCACTTAGAGATAGTTACAATTTTTTCTAAAAAAAAAAAAAAAAAAATCCTTAAGAAAGGGGAAGTACAAGCCAAAGAACTGTTGGATCTACACTGAGTTTCATTCATTTTATAAGCTTGAGTGTTTTGTGCACTTGTGAGTGTATGCGTGTATGCTGGTTCTGGGGCTTGAATTCAGGGTGGGTGCACTCATGGCAAAATTGAGAAATCTATCTGAAAAATAAACTACAGCAAAAAAGGTATGTCTGTCAAAAATAAATAAAAACCAGATGCCAATGGCTCATGCCTATAATCCTAGCTACTCAGGAGGCTGAGATCGGAGTATCACAGTTAGAAGCCAGCCTAGGCAGGAAAGTCCATGAGCCAGAAGTGGCGCTGTGGCTCAGTTGGTAGAGCCCACTAACCTTGAGCACAAAGAGGCTCAGGGATAGCGCCCAGGCCCTGAGTTCAAGCCCCAGAACTGGCCAAGAAACAAAAAACAACTGCCAGAAATATTTGCTGGGCACATGTGGCTCATGCCTATAATCCTAGGTACTCCAGAGATTGAGCTCTGAAGATTGTGGTTTAAAGCCACCCTGGGCAAGAAAGTCCATGGGACTTATCTCCACTCAAGCACCAAAACAACTGGAAGTGGAGCTCTGTCAAGTGGTATAGCGCTAACCTTGAGCAAAAAGCACAAGGACAGCATGCAGGTTTTGAGTTCAAGGGCTGGCCCCCAAAATAAAAATTAATTATTTATATCTTCCTGGCCCAAAACATTGTCTCTTTACAGGTATAAATGAATATCTTTTTCATTTTTGTTTTTCCAGCTTGAAAATAAGGAGCTTCGAGAATTACTGTCCATCAGCAGTGAGTCTCTTCAGATCAGAGAGAACTCAGTGGACCCTGCTTCCTAGCCCATCAAATAATGGCTGAAAGATGTCTAAAGATTCCCTATCAAGGAAGGAAGGGATTGTCTTCCAATTAGAGTACTGTCTATTCATTGTGCTGCCCAACACTTGATTTCGTTTTGCTTAAAAGTATCAGGTGGCAGTTTAGAGTTCCAAAGTCAATACTGGCTATCCACAGAAGTTTTGAGCTATGTTAGTGAGAATCTACAATGAGTCTCACCATTCTTTTGTCTAAGAAACAACTTTAATGTTTATTTCTAGAACTTCAATTTATATATTTGTCTGAAACTTTGAACATTTTTAGTCAGTCACTTTATTTTATATAGGATTGTAAAATACACTTACAGGAATATTTAAGAGATTTACCTTTGTAAATCTATTTGGCATAAATGTGTATTTTTTTTTGTTTCCTTTTGTCAGAGGTAATCTGTTTCCATAGAACTAGATTGGCAAATTCTCTAATTTGTGATGTCATTCACTTGTGAAGCTTCGGCTCTCTCTGGTGCTAAGAGCTGGCACCTTATGGTCAGGTGTCTTTACTCTTAAATTGAGAGAAGTTCTGTCTAGTCCCCAGGAAACACACCTGCAAGTCAGGCAGCTGTTTCTTCTTCCCAGTGATAGTACAGACATCACACCACTCACACTGCCGAGGAGCTTGCCTATGCATGTGCACACGTGCACAGTCCACATGGCACAAGTAGCTTTTATTTATATGATTCAATGTAAGTGGTATTTAATCTTGACCTTAGTTTACCTAGTGAGCATATCATAGATGTATCTACTGCATAGTTCTTCTGTACTTTATACCACTATTTAAGTTATATGCAGCTGTGATAGTTTAAAACTGCCACTAGTAAGGTATATCATGACTGGCGCTGGTTTTTAAGTCTCTTTTACATGAAAGCATTTTTATTACCTAAGTTACTGCATTTACATTGCTGTGCAGGCAACAATAGAGCATTGAGATTTAAACACTGGGTAGTACCTCACACCTGAGATCTGAGCAGTTCGAAGCCAGCCTGGATAGGAAAGCCAGTGAGACTCTTTACCTCCAATTAATCAGTGAAAAGCCAGAAATGGACCTATGGCTCAAATGGGAGAGTGCTAGCCTTGAGGACAAAAGCCAAGGGCTTGAGATTTTGAGTTCAAACCTCATTATTGGCACAAGAAAAATAAATTAGATAGATCTTTAGGTAGATAAATAGGTTCACTCATCAGTTTCTACCCTGTCTCAATTCATTTGCATTTCAAATTTACAAATTACATCCTATTATACTATTGAAGTTCCTCCCCCACAAATAGCTGAAATAATGAATGCTAAGGCTGTCAATGTAAAGCACCACAGTACAGGAGAGAAAGACCCAGTATCAAAAGGAGTTATTTGCAGGCTGGTGATGTAGCTCAGTGGTAAAGTGCTTACTTAGCATACATGAAAACCTCAGTTCAGTTCCCAGTACTGCAGAAAGCAAAAGATTTACTTGCTAGTGCTCTGAGTGATGTGAAATTTCTTTTGTACTCCTCTGTAGCATCTCAGAAGAGTAGGCAAATTGACATTGTCAGTCTCCAGTATCAGTGAGTTCAGTTATGTAAGGTGGACTATCTGCCCAGCAGTGGACACTGAGGTCTTTGAAGCAGTCTTCAGAAGGCTTTAGAAATTTTGCAACTTCTACTTTTCATCTGCTGGCCTAGACATCTTGAGAAAAAAAACTTGAAAATTACTTTTAATAAAATAATTTCTGTGTGTTTGTGCGCCAGGTGTAGTGGTTTACACCTGTAACCCTAGCAATCAGGAGGAAGAGATAAGAGAATCACAGTTCAAAGCCAACCTTGTGTGACTTGGCAAGACTCTTGTTTTTTAAAGTTTACTTGGTAGTTGTTTTCCAGGTGACATATAGCGGGGCTATCTTTACATATGTCAAGTAACAAGTTCATTTTCTTCACTCTCTCCCACTCCCTCCAGCCTCCATAGTGCACTTTCATCAATGTCCCCTGCGGCCAGCACTGCATTTTTTCACCCTTTTTCCTCTGAGTCTATGCCCTCCTCACCCTCCCGCAGATGTGCACATGAATACACCATATATAAGGTAGAGAATACAGAGCCATCAGAAAAAGAAAACAATAAAAACAATAAATGGTCTTTTTGGTTAAAATTAGCCTGAAATGCTATAACTAAGAATGCTGAGAGCTTTATAAGCAGCCATGCATGTACAAATTTTGTCAGTATTTTACATTTTTAACATATTTGTCAGAAAATGATAGCTGTCTTTCAAATACTTATAAACCATAATATCTCATTGCCCAGCTTTAGAATCAAATGTTGCCAGTGTGAGGGTTGACGGTGAGGCAGTCAGCATAAACTCGTTCAAGCTAGCACCACAAAAGCAGAACAGGAAATGTACCATTGTTTTGCGTGTATTTGAGCTTGCCTTGCCCTGAATCTTAACTCCCCCCCCCCCCCCCACTTTTTGTTGTTGTTGCCAGTCCTGGGGCTTGAACTCAGGGCCTGGGCAGTGTCCCTGAGCTGCTTTTGCTCAAGGCTAGCACTCTACCACTTGAACCACACAGTATCACTTCTGGCCTTTTCTGTTTATGTGGTACTGAGGAAACGAACCCAGAGCTTTGTGCATGCTAGGCCAGCACTCTACCACTGAGCCACATTCCCAGCCCTTCTCTTTTTTTAATAGGGCTTGTTTGGGAGGGGGGTGCCACAAAAAAACTTGAACTTAACCTGAGCACTGTCCCTGAGGTTCTTTTTTTTTTTTTTTTTTAAGTTTATTTTTAGGGTCCGGTTGTGGGGCCTGAGCTCTGAGCCTGGGTGCTGTCCCTCAGCTCTTCAGCTCAAGGCTAGTGCTCTACCACTTGAGCCACAACGCCACTTCCGGCTTTTTTCTTTTTGCTTATGTGGTGCTGAGGAATCGAACCGAGGGCCTCAGGCATGCAAGGCAAGTGCTCTGCCACTGAGCCAACTTCCCAGCCCCCTGAGGTTCTTTTTCTCAAGGGTAGCACTCTACCGCATGAGCCACAGCCACTGCCACTTCCAGCTTTTTCTGAGTATTTTGTTGGAGATAAGAATCTCATGGACTTTCCTTTGTGGACTGGCTTTGAATCTTAATCCTCAGATCTCAGCCTAAGTAGCTTAAGTTTATGGGCATGAGACACCAGTGCCTGACTCTTTTTAATAGTTTTAATCACATAGACTTTAAAAAAGATTTAATATATGTATCCCTAAAATGACTTATTTTTCAGTTTTGTTTCTTTTTTTTTTTTATTTATTTATTTTGGGTCCAGTCTCAGGGCCTGAACTCTGGACCTGGGCGCTGTCCCTCAGCTCTTCAGCTCAAGGCTAGCACTCTACCACTTGAGCCACAGCGCCACTTCCGGCGTTTTTTCTTTTTGCTTATGTGGTGCTGAGGAATCGAACCCAGGGCCTCAGGCATGCAAGGCAAGTGCTCTGCCACTGAGCCAACTTCCCAGCCCTTCAGTTTTGTTTCTGTATGGACTTGATAGGAATGAGATACAATATATAGCCTAGGGTCTCTTTTTTGTATATAGCTGTCCTTTATGTTCATTGATATGTATTTCATTGTGTGATTATTTGGTATATTGTGAAGAAGTACATGGACACAGGTTGGGGTAGAATTCATTGGTGGATGCACATTTAAGATGTGAGGCCTTAAGTTCAAACCAGGACACACAACACATTATGAAATATATTTTTTAAATGTATTAATATATGACTTTTTAATTCTCCACCTACCTCATTTATACTACCCACATTTCAAAATAAGCTGTCACTTCCCATTTTTTGGATATGTCACTGGGATCTCCCACAGCATCTTTCAGAGTAAATTAAGGAGTCCCACCCCATATCAGGGGAAAGCAGCCCATGCTGCTGCTTTTGTAACTCTGAAGTGCTTAAAAAGAGGCAGAAGCGGGGCTGGGAAGGTGGCTCAGTGGTAGAGGGCTTGCCTTGCATGCCTGAGGCCCTGGGTTCAATTCCTCAGCACCACATAAGCAAAAAGAAAAAAAAAAAGCCGGAAGTGGCACTGTGGCTCAAGTGGTAGAGTGCTAGCTTTGAGCTGAAGAGCTGAGGGACAGTACCCAGGCCCAGAATTCAAGCCCCAGAACTGGAAACTAAACAAACAAAAAGAGGCAGAAGCTCCATAGCTTCCAGTAAGCTACCCCAGCATGCAAATATTCCCTTGGCCTCCAAGAGCCATGTGTTGTATTAGCAGGTGGGTTACTGTATACTAGTGATACTAAGAATCACTTTTCCTCACAATCTCCAGACTGAAGGTAAGTATTCCATAGGGTTTGTGATGTTGGTTACAAACATATGCAAGGTTGGTATGTATTCCTGGTGAATTACTGGAGAGTGTCATCTCAGTATTTCACTTTACAAAGGGTCATTTGAGAAAGGACTAGCCATTTTTGCTGTTTTCACTGAACTTTCTACTGGCCAGCAGCCAAATATGTGCCTGTGGCTCCGATATGTAAGGAGGCTGAGATCAGTTCTAGTATTTCTAGATAAGGTTACGTCTAAGGTTCTAAGTGGATGTGAATTTACAGGGGACACTATTCAATACATACAGTTCCCAAGTATCTACCCCCCAGCAAACAGCAGTATTTGGTTACAAAGGAGACGTGGGGGTTTTCTCATGGACTTTCCTGCCTAGGCATCTTCCTGAATACACAAAAATAGTGGCTTTAGGGACTGGGAAGGTGGCTCAGTAGTAGAGTGCTTGCCTCCCATTCATGAGGCGCTGGGTTCGATTCCTCAGCACCACATAATCAGAAAAAGCAGAAAGTGGCACCGTGGCTCAAGTGGTAGAACACTAGCCTTAAGCTGAAGAGCTGAGGGACAACTCCCAGGCCCAGAGTTCAGGCCCACAACCAACAACAAAAAAAAAAAAAGTGGCTTTATCATGGAGAATCCTGGAAGATAGCAACAGGTTAAGGTAATTCATTTGAAGGTCTCCTCCCTTTCCCCCATTAAGCAATGGTGAGCCAATACTTCTAGTATTCTTTCAGATGCAGGCATGTTCTACCTAATTGGGGATCTGTTCTGAGAAACATCCTAGTGTGAACACTAGAGTATACTTACAGAGACCTACTGGACAGGTCAATGGCTTGACATTGCTTCTTGCTGTAAACAGAAGTCTGACATCACAGCCAGCTTAATGCAGCACACAGTAATTCATTTTATAATTGGGGGAGTACGCTAAATAATTTTTTTTTAAGTATAGTAAGGCTGGGAAGGTGGCTCAGTGGCAGAGTGATTGCCTTGCATACATGAGGCCCTGGGTTCAATTCCTCAGCACCACATAAGCAGAAAAAGATGGAAATGGCACTGTGGGTCAAGTGGTAAAGTACTAGCCTTGAACTGAAGAGCTGAGGGATGGTGCCCAGGCCCAGAGCTCAGGCCCCATAACCAACAACAACAAAAAAAGTATACTA